TTTGAATCTGAGTTTTCAACGGAAATACCTGTTTTGAGGTACCCTCGACCGAAATCGAGTCGAAATGACCAAGCCCCAAAAAATGATCTGTGTGTCTGTGTGCAACTTTCCCCTCAAAATCGGCTAACCGGAAGTGCCACTTTATATCAACGCTGAAACACTTTTTTATAATTTTCTCCAAAACGGCTCTAACGATTTCGATTAAACTGAAGAGGGCTTAAAACACTACCTTGTGGTACGCCCGCAAGTTGGGGAAAGAAGGGAGAAGTAGAGGAATCAATAGTAATACAGAAGAACCTGTCAAAAAAGAAAGATTGAAGTATCAGAACGTAAGTTGAAGGAAGGTGTGGTTTTATTTTACACAGTAAACCTTTGTGCCAGACGCTATCAAACGCTTTCTCGATATGCAGGAATATCGCTGAGCAGAATTCTTTTTTTTCGAAGGCGACCGAGATAGCGTCTACTATACGATGACACTGTTGTACAGTGGAATGGTAAGAAAGAAAGCCAAATTGATGATTCAGAATAACTTCCCTACTTTCTAGGATTGAGTTCTGCGCATGCGTTAACCCTACACATGAACTCTTTATTTCGTCTCTTATAAAGTGACTTTATTATCAGTGAAATAATTCATGTTATATGTGAAAAAGAAGTGTGAACTGTTAAGTTAACAATTAAGTTGAAACTGGACATAAATAAGGTGAGTAATCACTTATTTATAACGGCATTGTGAACAGTGTAAATAGTCCTGAGGATAGTGATAGATAACAAGCCGGCCATATACATTCGCTAATCCGACCAGTGGGCTGCTGCCCTTCGGCGGAAGCACATCTACGTTACTCAGAATTCTACAAACTCGCGTAATATATACGTAATTGATAAAGGACATTTTTTTTAGCAAATTATTACATTTACCTCTAATTAATTAACATGAGATGCGATATTTTCACATGGTAATGTCGAGCAAAGGTAGCAGCGGATAGCGGGGTACATTATGATCAAGGGAGCATCGGTTGGAAGCCATACCTAGCTCGGAGCAAAGGTAGCAATCGAACTTTAAGACCTAGGAGTCTCGATACCACAAAGAGTTCACCTATCAAGAAAAGGGCTAGACGCTCTAAAAAAAAATACCCCGCCAGCTACACCAGAGAGCTCAGTTGACGAAGTCGAAAATCAACCTGGCACATCATCACAAAATATGTCAACACAAGCTATATCAATACAAGGTACGTTAGAAGAATCGCCCTTTTTTACAGCTAATCCATTCCAAGTGTTGTCAAACACACAGAATGAACAAATGGAAGCAGTACCCATCCCTAGTGAACCTAAACCCCCACCAATATTCGTTAGAAACATAAAAAATTTTCAATTAATGTGTCTACAATTAAATAATATAGTGGGCTCAGGTAAATACTTATGCCAAAGCCGCATTAATGACACGAAATTAATGCCTGACACCCCAGATACGTACAGAAAAATTGTCAAGTATTTATCTGACACTAAGGCGGATTATCACACATATCAGCTGCGCCAAGAGAGAGCGCTCAGGGTGGTGATCAGGAGATTACACCCATCAACACCGCTGGATGCCATTAAAGAAGAACTAACTGAGATGGGGTTCCGTGTTCGCCAAATAGTGAATATATTCAAGGAAGATAGAGAACAGCCTGGCTCAAAAAATAAAATACCGCTCCCACTATTCTTCGTTGACCTTGACCGAACGCCCCAGGTCGAAGACATCTACAAGGTCACACGCCTTTACTACACTAGCGTTGTTGTAGAAAAGCCCTACACTAAGCGCGACATTGTACAATGCCATAACTGCCAGGCTTATGGTCATACGAAACGCTATTGCCACCACATTCCTAGATGTGTCCGGTGCGGTGATCAACATAAAACAGAGGACTGCCAGAAGTCCAGAAGAACACCAGCAGTATGCGCTTTATGCCATCAAGGGCACCCAGCGAACTACAAGGGTTGCCAAACATATAAGGAACTAAAAGCAAGAATTTATTCAGCTCCAAGAGAAGAACGGCCATCCAGGCCACCAAGACAACCCTCTAGAACTGTAAATACAAGAGTGTCCTATGCTCAGATATTCAAAGGAGATCACTGCACCCACACAAACTCAGGCCCTGCCACAAGAACCTCAACCTCGAGTATTCACATCTCAACCTCAAGACCCTTATCCCATCTCTGAACCTAGGCCTAATAACCAGGACATTCATTCCTCCTCCTCCCAATGCCACTGACCTCACAAGCCTATTGACTTCTTTTCTCTCTGAATTCAGATCACTCATCACTCCTCTCATTTCCTTACTTACCAATGTTGTATCCAACCTCATCCCACTGCCGAGAAATCCTTAAATGTCCCCAATCAAATCCCTCTCCGTTCTCCTTTGGAATGCGAATGGTATTCGAAATCACATCAACGAGCTAACAATCTTATTACAGGACAAAAACATTGATATAGCATTAATAACTGAAACTCGACTTACCAACAAACGACCACTTAACATCCCCAACTATCATATCTATCGAACCGACCATCCTGATGGAACAGCACATGCTGGCACTGCCATAATTATCCATCAATCCCTTTCCCATCACCTATTCCCTTTGCTGACCCATAATTTCCTACAATCCACTGCCGTGATAATCCAAACTTCTCCTTACCCAATAGCAGTAGTCGCAGCATACTCCCCGCCTAAAATACCTATCTCAGAATCCCAATTAACTTCCTTCCTTAACTCCTTAGGACACCACTTCCTTCTAGGTGCAGACTTAAATGCTAAACACCAGCAATGGGGAGCCAGAACCACAAATTCCAGAGGACGAACATTGCTATCTGCACTTAATTCCCATCACAGCGACATCCACTCACCCAATTCTCCCACATACTGGCCAACAGATCCTAACCGCAATCCCGACCTCCTAGATTTTTTCATCCACAAAGGTCTAGGGTCCCTTAATTATAGCATTTCAAGACTTGATGATCTTTCCTCAGACCATAGTCCCCTAATCCTAACGGTCTCCACATCACCAATTCCCAAACCACCTCCACCTTCATTTATCAGGGGGCCAGTTAATTGGAACCTCTTCCGTCAAATACTGGATGATAATATTGACCTCAGAGTTTCCTTAAAAACACCTGCAGACCTAGATGAAGCAGTATATTCCATGAGTACCTTGATCCAACAAGCAGTTTGGACTGCATCTTCACGTGATCCTTCTAAAAAATACCGCAAAATAAATCCTCTACCCCAAGACCTACTGGACCTTATTAATAGGAAACGATGCTCTAGGACCATCTGGCAAAGAACCAGGCATCCTGATGATCGGAAATCATATAACTATTATTCCAAGCAGGTAAAACAAAAACTGGCTACGTTTAGATCCCAATCCTATAATTCCTATCTTTCCTCACTATCTGCAAGTGATAACTCCCTCTGGAATGTAACAAAAAAAATCCTTAAATTCCAATCCATTTCCCACCCCCTCCGCCGTGATGATGGTTCCTGGGCTTCGTCAGATGAGAATAGAGCAGAAGAGTTTGCTAAACATCTATCGTACACATTCACTCCTCATCCTGAACTCCATCCCTCCCATACTGCTGAAGTTAAAGAATTCCTCTCTTCATCGATTCCTCTCTCCTTACCTCCTACAGCCGTCAACCCCTCTGAGGTCAAATTCCTTTTAAAGAACCTAAAACCTCGCAAATCTCCAGGACACGATCTCCTTACTTCCCAGATCCTCAGACAACTTCCCAAAAAAGCAATTATATTCCTTACATATCTATTCAACTGTATCCTCCGCACAACCCACTTTCCCCTGGTGTGGAAACACTCCATAATTATCCTCTTTCCTAAACCAAGTAAACCTGTTAATTATACATCATCCTATAGACCGATAAGCTTACTTCCGATCCTTTCCAAAATCTTTGAGAAAATCCTTCTCAAACGCATCCTACCCATACTCGAATCCCACAATATCCCTTCCCATCAGTTTGGATTCCGCTCAAGACACTCCACTGTCCAACAAGGCCTTCGCGTTGTGGACCACATATCCTCTGCACTTGAAAACAAGCAATATTGCACTGGTGCCTTTCTGGACGTAGCTCAAGCTTTCGACCGGGTGTGGCACGATGGTTTGCTTTTCAAGCTCAAAACCCATTTACCTCAACCCTTGTACCTAGTCCTCAAATCTTACCTTTCAAATCGCTCCTTTCAAGTCCGCTGCGGCACTGAACTCTCCAAACATTATCCAATTGAGGCTGGTGTTCCACAAGGCAGTGTCTTGGGCCCAGTTCTCTATATCCTTTTCACCGCTGACATCCCTTCAAGTCCTGATACCTTCAGGTAGTTAGGTAGTTTAATACTATTAATAATATATACTATAATTTTATATGGAATGATTTGATTGGAATTAATTTGTACGTGAAATTCAATTATCCTAGTTGAATCATTTGTCCTATTTTCTTTAGTATTGTTCTCCACATAGGTATTATCATTATCTTTTTTTTAATTCTTTGTTTTTTTTTTATCAGTACAATTCACTGTAAAGATTACGAATGTTTTATAAATTATATTTTTATGTTCAAGATATAGATGGATTAAGAAGAACATCAAAACAATTAATTAACTAGGAAATATAATTTAAAATACAAAATATAAAAATAAACTAGAAAGATCATATCACATGGATTTCAGAGTATTTGAAGTTCAGCCATAACAGGCATGAACAAACTATTCATTTTCTTTTAATCAATTTAATAATATCTAGCAACCAACGGGAACCATCTTAATATTTACCCTCAAAATGACAAAACCTCAAACAAGGCGTTTGAGAAAAAATTTTAATTTAAATAAATTAACCGTTAGTTCACGATCAAAATATGATGACATTTTAAATGGTGAAAAAATGGTTTACTAAACTGAAGCATTAAAATGACCACAATCTGAAAATTTTCAGTTCAGGTAAGGGTACATAAATGAAACAAATTTAGTTTTTATGAATGCATTTAACATATAAACATATTTACACATCAATCTCTTCAATGAAATTAAAACAAATTTCTAATAAATTCCATTTTTACAACCATATATTTTTTTTTCTTTATTACTTTACAACACTGCAAACGTTGAACAACCCACAAAGGCAACGATTGTCTATTTACATCTAATTCTTGTTTAAAATGTACACCCTCATTTACATGGCCAAATTTATATCGATTCCTAAAATAACAACCTATTCACATCCGTTCTGTACAAAATAAAACAATTTCTTTCCTAAATTACTACATACAATAAATAACATTATCTAATAATACACTTCAATCACATTTATTTTGACTGAGTCTATATGAAATCCCTATATTTATAAAAAGTTCATCTGTACATGCCAATGGACTTAAAATGAAACTAATTGATTATGCACTTGAACAAAACAAATTATATAGCATATTCTAACTGCAAAAAAAAAAATACAAATTTGAAACTCTAAAAAAAAAGCATGATATTAAAATAAATACTGCATTGACAGGAAAATTATAGTAGATTTATTTATCCTAAGTAGATAAGTGCCAAGGAACAATTAATGTTTACAATCTAGATTCTAGGTAATGTTATCAATTAATCACTAGATTGTTAAGTACAACAAAATTTCAATTTAGGCACATGTGTGATTACTAATTTGTTTATAATACAAAATATATCATACATTGGGATATAATGTTATTATATTTAAATACCATTTATATGTTCATTTCTCTAGCTATAAACATTAATAAATTTGTAAAGAAAAATATACAGTTTTATTGAGAATATATTTGGTATTGTTATTGATAGTAGAACAATTCATATCACACAGTGGGTATCAAGGCTAAAACTAGAAGTTTAATCTTCCTTATCACCGCTGAAACAGGCCAAAAAGCCTCCTTCCTGCAGATGATCTTTTCTTGTCAGCTGAAGATGGGGTGCTCTGGCCACTGCCTTGTTCGGGGTTGTTAAGCTTCCTCTTCATCTGTTCATCTAGCAGGGCTTGGACATCCATCTAAAACAGCCATATTAAACTTATAAGTTTGGTTAGAAATAATTTTATCTTATATGAGTCAATATAAAATTAGTTTGTCTCCCACTATGGCCTACTAAGATAAACTAACAATGTTAGGACATTGTCTTTTTTAACAATTAATGTTTAACCTACCGTTTTTGTTCCAGGGTACAGAACTTACAATTATAGTTATTAATCATAGCTGATCTTACCCATTTGTTAGTGGGTAGATATTTAACATGAAATACTTCTTAAAATTTCCTGTGCTTTTTAACAACACAAGTATATGGGTATAATTTCTAGTACTGGTCGGAAATTATCTAATATTTTATATTTTTATGAAAATAAAATGTTTCTCTCGTATAACAATCTGGAACTCCACTCAGCCTCGTTAGAACATGTAATTAGCTACTTGAGTAAAAAAATATCAGCCAGGTTTAAAGAATAAAATGAAAATTGTGAGTTGTTATGTACAGATGTACACCATCCATTTCTATAAACTAATTATTTCATTGGAAACTGATTATCCTCTGCATAATGCTTTCCAAAATACGTAAAACTATGTTATATTATTTTTCATTAACAATACAAAATACTTAGTTACTCGATTTCTGAAGCCATGGCCGAAGGAGTTGTAGGAACAACACTTAAGTATACTCGAGCAAAAGCTGTTCTTTGAACCAACAGAATAAATGCTGAGTTTTCCATTTTGGGTAGGTTGGTACTTGCTGGGTAACAGACTCTTTCTACTTAAGTTGGAACAAGAATCTTATATGGTTTTCACTTAAATTATTTCTAGTCATTTTCTAATTTATTTTTTTAATCTACTACTTTTATAAGGAACATAACGAAAAAGACCCATACCTGCCACTGTTCCAGCTGCTGGGAGAGTTCCACCTTCTGCTGGATGGCTTCCATCAGCTGGCTATTAGCTTGCATGACATCGATACGCGACTTGGCCAATTCCACTTGGGTTACGTTTTTACGGGCCACTGCACGGTCTCGCACCTCCCAAGCTTGTCTCACAAGTTCATCCTTTGACCCGCCATTTTCCAAGTCACTCTTGGCCTGGTCCCTCTCCTCTTTAACTCCTTCAAGCTCAACCTCTCTGACACTGAGCTATATTAAGAATGAACTATTAGTAACCAGATAGAATCATGAAACAAATAGATGAAATAAATTTTAATCCAACTTAGTTAGTTACAAAAGGCTATAAAATGGATTATAAAGATAATATAAGTAATGTATTGTAAAATAATAAGTAGAAACAGACAGATGTATATTAACTATTAGAGCAGGTGTCCATGTTGGTACTGTGACAAGCTTGAACACAGAAGTCTTTTCAACAGTTCAAACAACTAAATCTTATACTTTCAATAAAACAAGGTTTTAAATGGTTTCATTGAAAAGTAATTACTTACTTTCAATGTTCATGAGGAAACATTTCAGGACTAATTTAAGCCAAGAATAAATGGATAACAGATTGCTGTACCATTAAGGACAAAAAATTGGTGTTCTAATTTTGTAACATCTAATTGGATTATAGTAACCTCGAAATCATCTAACAAGAAACTTTATCATGATCAAGAATGATTACTGCTAAGGAAACTATGACGTGCTTACATATTTTAAATCAGTTGATTGATACAGTAAAATTTAAGAAAATTGAATAAAAGCAATGAATTAAAATATGAATGTTTAATTGCAATGAGCTCTTTATGAAATTATCTATATGGATATTTATGAATACTGTGAGTGAATAAAAAGCTTGTGTATTTACAAGCTTTCAATATAGCTTTAAAAAAAAAGAGAAAAAAAAAACGAAATAATTTTATTGTGAATTATAGTTGTGCAAAATTATGTGTGGTAAAAATTAAAAACATGTCTTATAAGCACTAAGTTAGGTGCAGTATGAAACTAAAGAATAGAGGTCTTCCAACAGATTATAACTGAAGTAAAAAAAAGCTACATAACATTACTTTTGAAAATTTCACACTTTCAATAAATCTCTTTTAGCAACTAAAAACAGACCATTTAATAAAAATAAATCATTTGTTGGCTAATGGCATAAGACCTATATTCTAATTTTACAGAATATAACCTTGTCATATTCTGGATCCTTCAGTCGCAGCTATTGTAATTGCATGAAAACATCAAAAAACATCATTACCTGGTGGATAAAAATTATTTATAGTGAATAAACAAAAGTCTGAATTGGATTTTCAATAGGAGGTGCAATTGATTTAAAAAGTGTTGAATTTTGTTGAGTTTTAATTAATACTGTGATATTTTTAAAAGCTAATTTTTGGTGAAAATAATAAACCATGGCTGCATTATCTGTTTTGTTTTTTTTATTTTATATTTGTTAGGCCAGACAAATGCTAAACATTTGCCAAAGAATTCAATCATCAGTATTGACCCAATAGTTTGGCTGCACTTGGCATATCATTTTCATATGTGTCGCTCCATCATAATTTTATTTTAACGTAATGTAATTTTATCTTAACAATACAAAAACATAAATTAAAACAGTGACTATTAGCTTAAGTCATTTTTTTACAATACATAATAGATTTTTTTATGGTGGTACACGAATTATTGATTGCTGTTATAATTTAAGGAACAGTAACTTGCAGGATGTGGTCAAGTACCTCACACTATGCTAGTGTAATATTTATTTATAGCCAACCTTTCAATCTATGTTGTAGATCTTCATCAGAACTAAAAAGAAGAAGGTACAAAAAAAAAATTTAAATAAGAATTGATGTTGGATTGTTTCAAGATATCAGATAAAAGTTACATTTTAAATAACTTGAATCTAATATCTAGTAATTATCAACAACAGCAACTCTTATTTTAATTCTTTCGTACCTCATACCAATTAATAATAATTTTCTTTAACTTGTTCTATTCAGCTCTGATAAAGACCTACGGGGTAGGTCGAAACATAGGCTAAAAATAAATATTACACCAACATAGTGTGTGATTGTGTGTCCAAGGTATATAAACATTTAGAAAATAAACATGAGAAAACTTCCTAATTCAAATTCTTCCAAACTCTGTAGATCAACCATAAATGGAGGTAGGGTGGCCGAACGGGCTAATGCATGTGCACAGCTCCGAATGTGTTGCCCGGGCAACCTGATAACTGAAGTTGTAGATGAAAAAATAATTACGAGTTCACATCCCGGAGCCGTGGTGGCTTTTAACTGTGGCATTAATTCCCGCCCTCACCCTCTGGCTCAGGAAAATCCCATATAGCCTAAATGGCGAGAAAGAGAAGAACAAAAAAATAAAAATATCAACCATAAATAACTATTAATTTGTTATTAATAGCACTTCGTTGTAAATAAGAAATTTTCAAAGAGGATGGATAAAAAACCTTGTCATCTAGTTGAATTATATTTTAATTAATTACGAAATTAATAACAACTGTATAAAAAAAATATTAAACTGGAAGTATTTAAAATATTATGTTTGTAAACTCACTTTGCTGGTCAGCTCCATGATGGTCTCACCTCGACGCTTCAACTCTTCAGATTTGGCTTCCAATTCCTTAAATACAAAATATAATTAGATAATAAATACATAATAAGAATTAATTTTAGCTAAAGATATTCTCAATACATTCCGACATCCATAGCTTATTGGTTTTGTTTACTACCAAAAGTCATAATCATAAATTACACCTAGGACTTCATCTTTTAATTTTCATTTAACATTTTATTATTTTTTACCGATATGCAATTTCATATTATTACACAATATAAAACTTATATAATATCTTGGATATTACAAGAATCATGTGTAAATTAGTCAATAAGTGCCTTATTTATATGTTAATGAATTCTAGGAAATATTACTACTAATAATAATATTAAGATTACTGCTTTTTTCATATATCGATTTAGCCAAAGTTGTACGGATTGAGATTGGAAATATTCCATAAAAATTAACATTTCAATACTATATGCTATATAAAATCATTCTTATATGACGATATATATATATATATATATATATATATATATATATAATATATATATATATATATATATATATATATATATATATATATATATATATATATATATATATAATAAAAAAAAATTAAGGCACTAAAATCATCAAAACTAATTATATAACTTACTTTAGCCATCCTGTCAAGGGATTCCTGAGCCCTGTGGAGCTCAATTTCAAGGTCAGTCACTGAGACACTGCTGGTTGAGAAGTCGCCTTGGTTGTCTGCGATCAGGTCGCACAGTTCTTCAATCACTGCTGTCAGCAGCCCAACCTTTGTGCAATAGAGGTCAAATTAGAAGTATGAGATTGAGTTTTGTTTTAATTTAAAAACATCGAATAGATAAGGGATTTATATTTTCAACATGATCTAAATGTTTCCAAAAGAGTCTCAATGAGGAAAGAGGACTTTCAAGTCTTGGAATACCTCCTACAGGAGAGTGATATGTTAACTTATGATTCCAAAATGACCATACAAAAATTTTGACCTGTAAATTCATTGAAAAATATCGTATTTCAGAAAACGTAGTTTCTTTAACTATAATCCATGGAACCCGCTGTTTGTGAATTACAGTTACCAGGAATCCATAAAAAAAATTTTACTTTAAATTTACCTCCTCCAACTCTTGGTTTTTATTCAAATACCTCATTTAATCAAAATCTAATATGGTCAAGACATTGTGCAATTGCTGTTACTTGACTACTTATTAACATAATGATGTAAAATGGATAGATTGGTTGGCATGGGGTCCGCAAAAAGAACTTTTATTCAAGAGGTCCAAGGACTACATAAGGATAACAATTCCTTCAATAAAAAATAAACATATAAAAGCGCCTAGATGAGTTTAGAACAACGTTTAGTTATTAGCTAAGCTTGCCGTGACTTGTCAACTGTTTAACAACTGAAAACACATCTCTGGATGGTTTTAGCACTAAAATTGACTCTTAGTATTACCAAGAACTTTTAATTTAATTTTTTTTTCCTTTTCCCTCTAATCTGGTCATTTCTAGCACATGGGGAGTGTTCCAATAGATATTCTTATTCTGACCACTGTGAGGAAGGTCTAAAATTCATTTCATGGAGCAACCATAAAATAAATTTTAACTTTATTTCTAACTGGTGTTTCTAGACTAGGGGTAGATAAGATGACACCTAAACATTCTTAGGCATCACAGCTCCGGATATTTCTTTTTTAGTTCCAGAACAGAGAAGTACTGTATAAAGTTAGTTGATGTTAATTCCAAGATTACAGCAACACTTGAATCTTGCTATTGAAATCAGCTTTTGTGTTTCATGATGAAGTTTAAAAAAGTTCATTATTTTGACCATAAATTAAATAATTTATTAATTAAAATTTAAATAAAAAAAACAGAGGAATATTAGTGAAACTTAATTTTAAATACCTTGACTTGATGGATAGTAATGTCAGGCCGAACACCAGTTTCCATGGACTGTTGGCTTCGCTGCCTCAGACTGTGGCAGACAGCACGTACTCTGTCATAGACAGAAACGATTTCCACTTTTATCTGAAAATAACAATAATTTTATTGATATTAAATACAAACAAATATATTTCAGAATATCTTGAAGCAATACAAAACTGAACAGTGGTCGAAAACTTACTTTCAAAATGTAAGAATGCTGAAAAACATTGTTTATAACCATAATTATACTATCAATTAGTAATCAGATGAACTAGAACACGAGAACACAAGAAATGGACTTATTGCTATTCTAGGAGTTGCTTATTGTTTTTAATCATGTTTTGTTCATAATTGTATGAAGAAAGCTTACTTGGTGCAAATCATCACCGGTCGGTAGGTGGCTGTCATCACATTCCATCTCACTGTGGAGGGAACGCTGGCCACTGATGTGGCCATAGGTGAAAAGTCTCTCTCCCAGCATACCATTGGCACTCCGCAGCTCTTCCAGTTCACTGTGGGAGACCCGCATCTATACAAAAATTCAAAAGTATTTAATACATCAGACAGGATGAAATAAATGTTTTATTTTCAAGTTTTCTCTCATACATAAACACAAAGAAACCATGAATAAAACTCCTTTCCCCAGAATTTTTATATGTCATAAGGTCTAATTTATGTATGTGTTGTTTTAGAAGGTTTTTATTAATTATTTAAAAACAAAACAAATATAGTTATTGATAACTATATTAATTCTGACCTGCAACTGCTGTTCCCTCATCTGCTTCTCCAGAAGCATGATCCTGTCGGTGGCTTCCTCAAGAGCGGCGCTGAGAGAGTCCCTCTGCTGGCTCACGGCGGCCAGTCGTCGCTCCAGCTCGTTCTTCTTCTCCGTCATGAAATCGATCTGTGGTTCAAAATAACAAAAGCACGACATTAGTGAGTTTCTGAACTAGTTCGAAGAGGGAACTTGAGCGATCACTTAATTAATTATTACAAAACACAAAATTATTATCACGGCGATGCATATGCATTCACTTGTCAAACCGTGAAGACACTCAGCACTCTCCTAGTATCTTATTATGTCCATATTAGCTCCTCACAATTTAGCTAAATAGGAAAAATAAAATTCTATTGTATGTATTCATTTTGGGAAAACGTTCTTTAATTAAAAAAAAATTATAAGCCATGGTCCAAAAACGTGAATAATGGCTAGTAATATACATAATGAATGGTGTTGGTATGTATATGTATTGATAAGCCACCTCAATACCAAGTAGAATTAATTTTTTTTTACGGCTTTAGTAGCTCTACCCTGAAATAGTTATTTATTTAACCTTAAAAGGACCATGTCGCTGAATTTATGTTTTTAGGATCCTTTGATGAGCCGGAAATTGGAATCCATCAAAACTTAAAATGATCTGGGTTGATATCCAAACATTGACACGCTTATTTTAAACCAGTGCCAGCGTTAGACATTTGGCGCTCCCCTTACAAATTGCTCTAGATAGTGGAAACATCGAAAAAATAAATAGAAATAAGAAAGATTATTGGGGAGAGTTGGTCTAAAATGTATTCAAATAATATTGACATGAATATCTTGTGATGTTTAACTAATTTCTTTATTTACATAGAAAGCAATACTGGATAGATTAGCTCATATAAATGAATTATTTAGTGGTCATTAGAGTGTAGCGCACGCGACAGGTGATGTTAATGATGACCTTTAGAACCGATGACGTAGATAACTAACAGCTTGATTAAGTACTTAGATAAAAAATGAACTTTGCGTGGAATGGTTAGGCCAGCCATTATTCACAATTCTCTCCTATCTAACTGGGAACAAGTGGAGATCAGTCGAGGAGTAATTTTTACAGATATCTATCAATTGGTGTAAAAAATAATAAATCTGTATATTTATATTTTTGTAAATAAAATTGGAGGGTAATGAAAATAAATTTCTGTTTCTACTTATAGTGTTGCGCGAGTTCGACGTTGTGCTGCAACATAATTTTCGGCGAGCTATAGGATCTGCAATTAGGATTATATAAAACCGTTATTGTATTAGAAATCGAACTTATATATATATATGTATATAACATTTTATTTTTAACAAATAAAAACAACTAAACAAAAACTGTATGGGAACAAACTCATGAATTCGTATTATAATGAGAGTGAATAGTAAGTCGCATAGTTGGTAAGACCTGTCGCAGTTTTGACATGACAGGATTTGAAACATTTAGTGGGCGGGGTGGCCGAATGGGCTAAATGTGTGCACAGCACCGCCGTTGTCCGACAACCTGATCTATGGATTTGAAATAATCACGAATTCGCGTCCCTGTGCCGAGGGGGTCTTTTAAATCTCCGCCTACACTCCCTGGCCCGAGGAAACCCCGTATAGACTTTAAGACGAGGACCCCCAAAAAAAGAAAAGGAATGGTTTGAAACATATTTCTTAAAATTTTACAGGGATAAAATAAAAACTTCAAAAACAGATTGGGATCAATGAATTTTCTTCCGACAAATATCCGCTGAAGATATTTTCCTTCAGATGGACATTACCTCTAACCAGTACCGGATGAAATTTTGCAGTAAGCGAATCTCCAGGATTTAAATTTGGGGGTCCCAAACAATTTATATATATACACAACAATAATTACATGAGAAGAAAAATATAAAATATCAATATGAAACGGTGTTTAAGCGGTTCTTGAAGTCCTATTAAAAATTTAACTATACGAAAAATAATACTTTTAGAGATAATTTTTTTTAAAAACATGGTTCGTATTTAATAGCTGTATATGTATTATAATTTAAAAAAATATAACATAGTAGCCCATGTACAGGCCCTTGTTTTATGAAACTCTTACAATCCGCCTGAAACTTTAGAAATAGCTTTATCTCATCTTAATCTACAACTATTTTATTTACGAAAATTCTCGAAATTGGGGCGTTTACAATCTGGAGATCCGCAAAGAAAACCAAGATTAATAAATAAAATAAAGTTATCTAAATTACACTTATAGTTCATAATAATCACCCCTTTTTATCAAATTATTAAAATTCTTAAATAGCTTCATCTCATTGTAACCTAAATCTATTATATTTACAAACATTCTCGGAAGCGTTTTCAATCTGAAATAAAATAGTTGTACATGACGATGAGATGAAGCTATTCACGAAGTGTCAGGCAGATGTTAAAAAATTTGAAAATAAGGGGGTTGTACCGTACCGCGGACTATATAGTTGTTGTTTAATAATTTAACTTAGATCACTCACAGTAACCAATATGGACAAATGAACAAAAAAATATAGTTTCCATTATTTGAAGGGAGGAGGATGTCAGCCTGAAAGGATCCCTTCCCCTTAGATCCGCCAGTGCCTTTAACTTATGAATAATATTAGAACTTAATTAGAAGTCAAAAACAATCTGAAACTGATACCACCATATAAATGGCTAATGCACTGTCTAAAAAGAAAACAAAGACCATCACTCAAAGACATTTTTATAGTCTATATTTTCACGAAGTTTCGATGAATTTGAACACTTTTGTTGATCGATTTCCAATAATTCTTAAAAAGCCACAAATCGGCCTAATTCATCGCCAGTACCAGATGCAGAGAAAGAGAAAAGGAGAAATTTCCTTCAATAACCATTGAGAAAAAAAAATACTATCCTTTCAATAGATTTATATATACGTCCTACTATCGTGACTAAGATTGAATAAATTAAAGAGTAAGTAGTTCATTAGGTAGGGAAAATTTATAAAATTGACTCACCTTCTTTGAAATCGACTGTTGTATGAAATTAATTAAGTACATTGACCGATTGATGCCCACAACAATCGATTTTAAGTATTTCGAGTTATTAAATAGATAATCAATTTATTACGCAAACGAGGTAATATTTATCCCTAATTCTATGCTCCCTCTTAAACACTATCTCTGGATCCGCGCATGTCCATAATAATCAGTTATATTTACATCAAAGAATTGCTCAGTATCGATTTTTTTTTCTTTCATGAGTAATCTTATTTCATAAAACTCACACAAAACAAATATTTATCATAGGAACATAATACATATCGTATCATCAATATTTATTTTTTTCTGGGTTGAACACAAAAGATTTTTGATTCGTTCTTAAATTATTGACTTTTTTATTTCCGAGTTAAAACATTTAAAACTTTAAAGCGTCCTGTTTCATATTTTTTAACTGTATTCGATCTGGAAATTGAGAAGGTCAGAGGAGATTTGATTTATACCTGACGATAAATAAATGGAACAAAGTGTATAGGATAAAATAAAAATATAAATACCTCATCACGGAGAACGTCGAGGCTGGATTGGTGATCCTGGAGGCTGGTTTTCCTCTTGATGGCCTGTTCCCGAACTGTCTGGAGCTGAAGGGTAAGCTGTTCCTCGATCTTAGACGACTGCGGCATAGGGAATAGTTAATGAGTAAACTGTCCAAAAAGGTACACAACTATGACAGTCATAAAACAATATTTCACTAGATTAAAATTAAACAACTCTAAGAATCTGTTTTATTTTCAACAGATTTTCTTGTAACTAAACGGAACTACAGCTATAAACTAAAGTTGGACCTATTTGAGAGGTTAGGTCCGATATTGGCTATAATTAATCGATCCATTTAGATATTATGAATCGATTTCGTCAAAACTCGTATAGAATGTTGCAAAATTTGGACATCAGTTGACAAAAGTATTACTGCTATAAATGAGAAAGTAATGTTTAATATTAAGAAATTTGATAATTGTATCTTAAAAAAGAAAGGGAAGCGAATAGAAGCTATATATTTTGTTAATTATTCATAATTTAAAATTTTTGATCTACTCGATACCGGTTTCTCGTAACCAATTTGATATAACGAAACATCATAACGTGATAAGTGATAACTTATAAATAATAACTTGGAAGAATTCCCGTATTGATGAATTCTAGGATTAAATAAGCTTGTGTAAGTAATATTCATAACAGCAGGCTGACTCAGGCGGACAGAACGAAGCGATGAGAACCAACATGGAGGGCGACGTGTGGACATTGATGCCAGCAGGATTGAGATTGGATGGTGGCAGCGCAAAACAGAATGGACTCGCAATTGCTGCAGTTTCAATAATTGGTAAGTGCTGGTGATATTTTAGATATTAGATGGGTCGGCCATAACCTTTCTATCAGGCCGAAATAACTATGGCTTCACAGGCAGTTCGGCTTAAGTTTATATCGATTACGTTGGGAGCCGAGTCGTCTTGGCCAGCATAAAAGAAACACCTAAGGATTTCCTAGTGAACCCTTGAAATCCATGAACAGCCCTGCCGTCAACATATACTTCCATAACTAAAAAGTGTATTTAGGCAATTATGTTCTTTTGGTTTATTACTTTCAATAATCAACCATTGTGATCGACCAAAAAATTCAAAAACTTAACCCCCTCTCAAAATTTGAGGTTTAACGTTTCAGGAGGCGTAGAATTCGAAAAACGAATACAAACATTTTTTTTGTCCGTCCGCCGTCCGCGCATTTTCTCCGAAACTACAGGACCGATTTTTTTCAATTTCAATTTTGATATAAAATCAGAGGTCACCCGAGAATGATCCTCCTTCATCGACATTACTATCCACCTTTTACTTTCAAAATGGCGGCCGAAAAACCTGCGTTGCTATAGACTGTAGCTACTAAACAAATGTACAGATTTCAATGAAACTTCGCTAAAGTCATTTTCTTGACGCCCTTTAAATTTATTTATATAACATACTTCAACGAAAAGAAGCTGGAAAAAAAGTTACGAGGGATGGTAAAATTAAATTCCGAATAACTCGAAAAGTTTATACTTTTTTGTTGATATTGTATATAGTTTTTAAAAGTTTACGAAATTTTCTATAAAAAAAAAAAGAAATCGTTTAAATCGGATAATTAGGAGCAAAGATAGGGTCTACGGGTTTTTTTAATATGTTCTACTCCAAAATTTATATCCTTGGTTTGGTTTTTAAATTTTGAATATGTTACTGAACTAATGCTATTTTTTTTTTTAGCATATTACTAATGATTAAAAAAAAGTTTAGTCCAATAATTGGAATCACCTTTTGTTTATTTTTCTTTGTAACTCGGAAGGTAATGTTACTTTAGATGTATAATTGTTTGGAAATAATAAACCATTGTGAAATAATTTGCAACGTTTTTATAATGCATCCCAAATCCCTGAAAAACAAGAAATAAAAGCTTTTCAACAGTTGATTGCAGTCATCTTTGCTGAATACTTTTAGGTGACTGAATAGAAAATCACGTCATTTCTTTACACACAACTTGAGTTGGATATCAAAATTTTTCCTAATAAACTTCAACTTAATTAATATGGATTTAAAGCTTTTTACATGAGCAATTTTTTTTAAAAAGTGGGGTAACTGTAGTACAGATAGAGTGTAATAAAAAAAAATCACAAAAAATGTATGACTTTTAAACGGAACTTGGTTGTATCAGTCCCCTCAATAGTTTAATTTAAATAGGTTTAGCAATGCTAAATTCTACTTTCTTTTAAAGGAAATTTTGTCTAGTTTACTATGCAACAATGTTTAATTACTTAAATCAAATATTATTTAAGTTATCGGTTCCTGTTCAAGAAAAACGTGAGTCCCTCAATAACACACATTTTTTACTGCAAATTAGATAATTGTTTATATGAACTTTTTTTTAAGGTCTTAATGTCTCCTATCAACATTTTTAATATTTCTCTCTACTTACAGGATACCCTATATAACACTACAGGTGAAGTATGAAATGATACATAAATAAAAATGAAACCATCAAAAAATATTTATTTTACCAGTGGGATATTAGTTTATCCACTCTTTCGCCTAGTTTTTGCAAATCTATCTCAATTTGGGTATTTGCACATCGTATTAGATGTTGCAGTTTCACGTCCGATATGCTTGAGCATGTTTTGTGTTCGGTCAATTTCATTTTCGAATAAGACGATTCGCAGGTGTAAGTTGAACCAAAAGCACTAACGATTTCATTGTGCTGACTCATAACTGTAAACTTATAAATAAAACAGGCTATATCTGTCATATATTTACAAGAATATTATTTTTAAATCGGTTAAAATTTTGCTCGTAATTTCGACTTTTAATTTTTGAATATATGGATGAATAAATAATGCATTTTTTTTAATACAATGGTTTTCACCTCTTTGGCCATTATAAAATAAATATCTCGCCGACCAAAAAAATCTATCTCAAAAAAAGATTCTCAAATTTTAACTAAACACCCGTCAACGGGTATATCAGCTAGTATTTCCATAAAGCATAAAGAGTACCGTTCTTTACGCCTTATTTATCAAACTTCGATCCGTACTGTATCGTGGAGGAAGTCATTGGAGATTTAATGGATGGAAAGGGTGCCATACAATTATATTTCAAATTTTCTAACTTGGAAGAGGAATAATCAACACTTCGGACCTAACCTCACTCGATCCAGTCCGGTTGCCATTGGATACTCACCTCTTTTATCTGCGCCGTGAGTCGCTGGTTTTGCTCCGTCAGCTCCAGGATGAGGGCGTTCTTTTCCTTCTCGGCCTGCCTCATGGTGGCCTCTCTGTCGCCCAGCCTCCGCTGCAGTTCCCGGATGTCCGCCTGCAGCTCGACCAGCCGGGTCTCCCACTCGGCTTGGGTGGTAGCGAGCTTCCGTCGCAAAAGGTGTCTGTCTTGCTCGATCACCTGAAAACGATTGATGGGATCAGATTTTCGGAAATGGTAAAAAATTGCAGAATAGTCATGATTACGAATGAAAATAATTAAACGCAATCTACTTGGACTGGGAAAGAGTCTCTTCTATTCTTCAGTTCTCTTGCCTCTTCAATCCAACTATTTCGTTCATAAATATTAATGAAACGCATGCTATTAATTTTAAATCTTAACAGATTTCTGTTTATAGGTTTACTGAGGGAACTAGAATAATATAAGCTGCAACAATAAATGACCTATCTGTTTAACAATGTACACAACACCAATGACGGGATTAGAATTAAATTCAATAAACAAATCCATATAGAAAGATATAGTAAATTTTTCATTTGGTGATATTATGTTTAATTAATGACAAGTTTAAATAAATACTGGCTTGGAAAACTCTTCCTGAGTCCATAGACTCCTAAAATATAAGATATTAGACAGATAATGAAAGAAGTGGTTGCAGTTTATTGTTGACTCCTAAGAATAACATAAAGTTGTAAACCGTATACCGTACGATTACCTACCGTATGAGCTTTTCATATTATTATGGTGGACCAAATATTTTATCCAATAATTCTCATTTATTCCTTATAACATGTTTCTATATTTATATAGCTAGATAATAAATAGCTCAAGAGCAAGTACAGCCAACCAGTCAATGTAAATGAAACCGTCCTGAGTTTTTCAGGAGGGATAAGGTTGGGATTTTAGGAAGATAAATCGTTTGATTATTACACCTGTAGTTTCTCAGGATTTCCAGTCCTCGAAAACTTCATTATTTCTCTCCTAGAAAAACTTCCCCTTCAAAAATAAAAATAAATAAAAGAAAATGAGGTAGCACTATATCAAAAATATAACAGTTATAGTTATACCTATTAAAAAAACTGCTAGCAATGCCCTAAACTGTTATAGGTTTGAAAGTCATATAGATAATGGTGGGTTATTTATGGATCAAACCACACTATCATCAAACCAACACCACGAAACTATATTTTAAATTTAGTTAAACTAATATGTGAAATAAATTAAATTAATACAATTTTCTGAAAAAGAGTTGGTCGGGGGGTGCAATCAAATAAATTTATTTGACCTCACTTCCCCGACTAACTCCTTCTCATCTTATCACGGTCAACCATCCCTCCACTATTATAATACATATTTCCATATAACTACAATCTTCGGAAGAAAAAAACACCAAATATCTTGTAACATTTGTAAGGACAATTGAATAATTGCATGGCCTCAAGGATAATGATTGGGTAATATTTATGTAACTAAAAATGTAACCACTGGTGTCCCCACTTCCTTATTCGCGAAACCGAATGCATTTATACATACCTTCTTTTTTTTTTTCTTTTTTTACATTTATTTACACATACAATTGTTTAAGAGAAACAACAATACACGAAAATCAGTACTTCCAATATATTATTCTATGGTGTGAAATAAGGTATGAAGCCGATCAGATCCTCATCGTACATGTACAATATGAAAAATGACAAGCATTGTGTCTTGTAAACATATTTATATGTATATACATTTATTGTTGTATAATTAAATCGGATAGGAAGACTAAAAAACATATAATAACATTTTAATGAAAAATGTTGATAAAACTCAAAATTGATAAAGCAATGATGTAGGGATAGTTAGTTTTTTGTAACGTTAGTTTTAATTCAATGTTAATTATAATATTAATAAAAAAAAAACATCCTCATCCATGAATGCATTGAAGATTTTATCACAAAATTGGTCCAAACTTTATTATTTTATTATTATATTAACTTTACTCTGGTCTCCCTTCAAAACGAATAAATCTTTCGCCTTTTACTAAAGATAAAATTATTTTAAAATCTAACACTATGAAAAGTCACTGACATTGTACGATTTCCATAACATTGCTGATAACACCTTATTTTTATTGAAATTTATAATTTACTTTTCTGTTTTCTGATCGAATGGAGTAATCTATATACTATAAGCATTATTATTAGTAGTAATAACAAGTGAACTAAAAAGGTTTCAGATGGTTGGAGTTTTTTTCTCCTGAAAAATTATGTCTGAAGCATATGAAGATTTTGAAGTTCTGTTGATGTACTCGCTAAGGGTTCTTTAAAGATAATGTTTAAAGCTCTTGTATAATTATCTTACAGTGAACTATTGTTAATAATTTTGCATTTTATATTTATATTTCTTTAAAAGGAAGTAGGAATTAAGTTTTGTCCTATGGCAATAGTATCTATCCTCTCAATGTGACGAAAAATGAATTTGATTTCTATATGTTCAGTATAAATATAGAAGTCATATTATCTCAAACTGACAATCACGCATAGTTTAATGGATAATTATTGTCAGTATCGAAAAAAATATATCAGTTTAAGAAGATTTCAAGGACAGGAGAAAGGAAACGACCACAAAGCCACCGTACAAATAGAAGATTATCCTTGAGAAGACCACAAGATCAAGGACTGTTCTGGGAGATACAGAAGAAGGCTAAGAGGGAAATTGCAGAGTGTGATCAACCATAAACCTCTGTCGAAGGAATACCTTCTGGTAAGACCTATTAGCATAACAGGAAGAGAAACGGAGCTTGCAGATAGTGTAAGGATCTGTAATACCGATAAATAAAAAGATAATTCCAATTTATCATTTACAAGTAATTTGTTTTCAAGGGGTAAGTATTCAGGAAATTTTTAGGACAGAATAAATAAATAAATTAAAACCTGTACATCTACAGCCCATGAATGGTCTTGGGTTGAATACTTAAAAATGATGAACTCTTTTGGACCAACGGTTATACAAAGTGATGACCACGTTAGCATGCACATTCAACCACCAGGTTTTTACCCAAGGACTAGATACCAGGTTTAAACGATGGAAGTGTCCAAGGAAGTATTTCCAAGAAAGTAGTTACAACAGAACAAGTATTTTCTGTAAATCGAATCCGATTTTGTGCTTTCAGTGCCTTACTCAATGAGCTATTTAACTCCTAACCCTATAATCATAAACAAATAGCAAATGAGAAGGATAAAAAAAAATGGAAATCACTAAAGTATACATTTATTTAATATTTTATTGTGATTTAGAAAAAGATAAATGAAGTGAAGAGGTTATGATTTTTTGGAGTGATAAGTTTCAATCCAAAGAACAAGGAGAAATACCGGGACCAAACCACCGCTAGTGTATTTGTATTTGATCTACGATTTTTCTAATTCTACTTTTGCTTGCACTATTTTCAAAAAGAGGGAACCACTATCAAGTGTAAAAAATCGGAAATGGATTTATTTAATTTCAAATTAAGCATTTACGGTTTTTTTTTCTTGATGATCTTGTAAGATGGTGGAAGAACCGACATCGACAATGACTCAACTTGTTTACAGGATTCGCGACCTCCGTGCAGCTTCATAGCTCGCTTACGGCCTCGTTCCTCTTTGCAGGCCAGTGCTCGTCGCCCTATTGTCCCGCAAGATGGCTGTTGCCAAACAGGCGATTGTCGGTGGCTAGTGAGCCTTACCGGCCGAAGAGCAGATTCATATCTAACGATGATGGCCTATGGTATGCACCAAAAGAATGAGTCTGAATGACGTTAGAGGAGGAACTAAGCACAGTCAATCTTTCTGACAACTGGGGAGCTCTTGCGATGAACATACAACGATTGGAAAGACCTGACTCTGTGCAAAGCCTAGCAATCAGGTGGGTTATTATGTTAATGCCATTTTCGAGGCATTTAACTTACAATTGGTTGGGAATACTGTAGTTTGGTCTATATCAATTTAATTTTTGTATTATCGCAGTGTTTTAAAAGGTAGTAAAGATATTTCCACAAAGTAACGAAATTCTGCCTTGGCTTTTTGAGTAGTTTCCATGATGATCAGTTAGTTATTGAAATTATTGGAAATAATTCTCCACTTCTGTAATAATCGGAAGGAATTAATAAACCTCGTTCAGTGGGTACATATTCAGCATGAAATGTTGAGTAGAGTACTCTTCTGACAACTTAGTCAAATTACTATTTTGGTCACTGACTACAGAACAACCAACTGTGTTAATCTTCTATGCATCTCGTTCATATAATCTTTTTTTTTGTAATTATCTGTCAGTTCTATGTTTGTTTTGATCTGAAGTTGGTTTGTGGGTCTTGTATTAAGATTTTACATAGAATTTTTAATTCAAGGGATCATAGTCTATCATCAAGGAATTAGTCTTAATTCCTTGATGATAGACTATGATCCCTATGACTTGGTGAATGTAATTGAAATTTCAACTTTTTTTTTTTTGTTTCCTCCCATTCGTCACCTTTAAGCCTGTACGGTGTTTTCCCGGGCCAGAGGGTGTGGGCGGGGATTTAAAAGACTCCCCTGGCACAGGGACGCGAACTCGTGACTATTTTAAATCCATTGTCTCATATATCAGGTTGCCGAGCAAAGGCGGTGCTGTGCACACACGTTAGCCCGTTCGGCCACCCCGCCCACAAAATGTAATTGAAATGAACCTGTGTATTTTTAATTGTCCCAATACTTGCGGATCAAAGGAGGACAGAAGCCCCCTTCCCTCGAAATAGATTTTTTTTTTCAATGACCCATATTTGTCATTGCGAGTGATCTAAGCTGAATTCTAAAAAAAACTTCTATTTTGTAAATTATAATGCGTATGTACACAACTACTAAATAAGAAAAAACTTTTTTAAAATGTCTAATATTATTAATGTTCGTGTGTTATATATTTTTTTAATTGGGTTTCATGAACCATTTAAATACCATTTCATATAGTTTTTTTTATTTTGTTTCTAAGAAATTATTGTTTTATATATATATATTAAACTTTCGGAATGTTAGTCCCTAAAAATTAAATCCTGGATCCGCTACTACCTATAAGTATAATAAGGAATTGGGTATCACGATGCCTCATAGGGCATGGGAGTTTTCGCGCCAAGCTTCATGGCTTTGGGAAAGAAATTAAGACATTGTCTCTGTTGTGGTGTTTCGGAAACTGCTGAGCATATCGTCACGACTTGGACCGCTTTTGAAGTCATAAGGGCCAACCTACAGAGGGAATCTGAACTACACATTATCACGGAGGACGTTTTCTCTCAGCTAGTAAGGAAGGATAATTACCCGTAGTAAGAAGCATTCATGTATGGGTGGAAGGAATTGGTGGAGGATGATAACTTCAACCTCCACTAACGAAGACCGAAGAACCAGGCGAAAAGTGGTAGAAGCATACTTCTATGAAAAATCGGTATTGCCTAGAATCAAGGAAAGAAGAAAAATAAAATAAAAATAAATTAAAGTAAGCTACTTTCAAACAATATTAATTTTATTTTGAACTTGTTTATTAAGAAATATTTACAATCCATCTCAATTAAGGACATTTATAATAGTGTTCAGTGAGTACATTCACAATCTATCAACAATAAATAAAAATAAATTAAAAAGAAAAAAAAAAAAGAAAACTAAATGTACAGGGTGTTTCGTAATTGCACTATTTTAGGAATGCGTTCACTAACACAAAAAAAGTTCATGTTAATCCCAAACTCATTTATTAAAAAGATATCAAAGGTTAAAGATTTATTATTTATTATTATTACAACATTTAGAATAACTGTTCAAAGGGGCCCCCAATTTGTTGAATGCAACATTCAATGATGAACAGTATCAAATTTCTTTTCGAACGTTTGCAATTCGTCGAAATCTTTATCGACCTGCCTTTAATCGTAGAGGTTCGAACAACAACAGCACCGTTTCTATGTACCTTGCCATAAGTTAAAAACATATGTTTGTTCTGCAAAAGTGAATAAATTTATGGTGTTTCCCATGATAATCATAAATTGAACTGTGTCACAGTATTCACTCATACTAAAAAAAAAAAGAACTAGACAAACAGATAAGCAACTACTGACATTGCTTATCGTTCATTTGTTTATCAGGTGATTAAAACCCGTTATTTAGTATTAAAAAGCTTTGTACAGTCAGTCTTAATGTCGTAAATAAATAATAAATCTTTAACCTTTGATATCTGTTTAATAAACGAGATAAAAAAAAAATAAAAAAAATTAAAGGCAAATATACTTTTACACAAAATTTAAAAAAATCATTCATTCAGGGAAACCTCGAGCCAAGCCTTTCCCCCCGTCCTGGAAGAAAAGGCAGGACTCTAGGAGATCCCAGTCCCTCTCACTCAGCCATATTACAGGTAATATTCATTAAAAGTCTATTGTATACAATATCATAAATTTTAATAACATTTTACAATTATGAATAATTCTTAAATATAATGCAATAAACTAAGTAGGATGTTATAAATGAAAATTAAATAAAAAGAACAAAGATTTATCCGGGAACGACAAAGGCTGTCCTTGAGCACGGTCTGGCGGGCCAACAGTTTCGGTTGGCAGGCTATTCAAAAACAAAGAGATAAATTAGCGTTCGAAATGGACTCATTAAATTCTTGTTTTACAATGGTATCTAAATATGAGCTAAAAGTAAGTATATAAATTACGGACGAAAAATTGATTGAATGAAATCATAACTAGAATAAATGTGTCTAAGAGGTTAAGGGTTGGTCAATTTGAGGATCCGGTTCTGAATAAATTCAAAATTACTACATTTACTGTCGTCAATATAACATTTATTTTGAAAGAACTTAATATGAATTCGTAAAAATAACTCAGACAAAGACGATGAATTTGAATCTGTTTCCAGTTTTCTGGAATATAACCACAATTTTTCAGCCTGGAGTTGAGCAGGCAATGTATCGTGTTACAGATCAGCGACCTGCGGTCTGACCTAGCAAGGTCGCTTGGACATTCGTTCCAGGCCGGATGGGACAACGCTCGTAGAATGTCACAGGTTTCTTTTGTAATATTTTTTATACGGTTATCAACCGCAGCTTTCTGTATACAACAATAAATTTTCTCATTTTAGTAAACAGAATTGACAATAGATTGTTTATTTAAATTTAAAAAAAAAAATTGATTTTCCACATAAACCTAAATTCAAGGGCATATGTTGAACGTTCTGTGGTTTCCTCCACTACCCATATTTCTAAAGAACTCTCTTTTTGTTAAATTATTTTAAATAAAATTTTAGGGTTATATAACGATAAGTATCTAGGCGTTAATCACGCCAAAGAAAACAAATCTTCCATGGCAGTGTTATAGCCTATAAGTTAATCTCAGCACAATCCATTTTACGATCGAATACAAATATATAACAATCCAACTAGTCATTGGTTTTCATTTTGTACTTCATAACTGTCACTATCACTCTCAGCATCATTCCTTAGTATTTGTCATATTTTTCTGAATTTTGTCTGTCTAAGTATATTAGTAAAAATTAAAATCACATTATCATTATTTTTTTTTTACATAGTATGCCTCATTTTGCATTGCATTATATTTTAATTATATTATACTGAAATTAAGTTTCAACCTTAACTTCTAAAAAATTAAATGACTTAGACCATTGTGCATTTCCACGCTTTTATTAATTATTATTTAATTTATTATTTTAATCAATTTATGTTATACAAATGTAGTTTTTTAAAGTTACATAAGGTCTGTGTTATATGTTTCTAATTCTTTATTGAGACTTTATCATAATATTAAAAATAATTGTCAAAACCACTTTCAAGCTGTTATGAATAAAGGAATAATAAAAAAATAAGTATTTTATAATATTTAGGTGATCTAATAGTAGTATTTAATATTTCGTTTAGTAATGACCTTTTGTTCTTGTTGTTCCAATACCAATACAAATATATATATCCAGATTCTTCTTCATGTGCTACCTCTCGAATTTCTTCCGGTTTCTTGCAGATTTCCCTTCCTGTGGTCTGATATTTCGTATGAATGAACTTTGACTGGAAAACAGATTATTGGAAGAAATATTTCTAGGATAAAGACTCAGCTGAACTCAACTTTTTAACACAAAATCTTCAATTCAAACACTAGTCTCGGAACTCCGAAATTTATTTCACTTATTATAAAAACAGATCTTTAGCATTAAAAATTATAGTTTCAATCCGAACATTGGCTATCGGATTAAAATCTGTTGGAGTGGTGTTAATTTTTTTTTATATACTTTTTTAATGGGATGAATCCGTAACCTCTTACTTTTAATGACCTTAGCAAGTTAATCGTTCTATGGGTAAAATATTGTTTTTTTTTTTTCAATATTCAATCATCCACTCTTCGATAAAATTAAAAAAAGAGTTATTTTCAATGATGATGTAACAATAAGAGAAACAATAAAAGTATATTATCCTTGAATAAATCTGCTCTTCTGTAATAGCGATGTTATGATAATTTTATAAATATTATTTTTTTTAAAAACCTGTACCACCGGTGTGTCTTCGGTTCAATTCTATTTAGGAAAAGCACTGTTTCTTGGTCAACGGTTGTGCAAGGTGATTTGACCAAGATCACGCTCAACCGCCAGGTTTTTCCCCTTACCTTAATCAATTATTTAATTAAGGGTATCCACTTAAGGTAGAGAGGGTGGGTGTGCCCCAGAAGGGTCTCCCGACCCAGGATCCCTCACGGCCAATGAAACAGAATAAATAAATTTTCTGCCATGAGCCGGGATTCGAACCTGGGATCTTTAGCATTGGAAGCTCAGTACCCTACCACTGAGCTACCCCATTCCCTTATAAATATTGTTTACTTGATAAAATTGTTGGTAAGTCCAATAGTGCTTTAAAGTTTAAGCGTTGCTTTCTATAATAGAAATAAGGACAAGGTTACCTCAATGAGTATCTCAATGTGAATTTAGCAGCTAAAAAATAAAACTCTATAGTCCGGCCTTTTCGTAGCTCAAGCCCCGGTAACTGGTAACGGATAAACGTGATGTTTACAGCATCAAATGATGGCACAACACTAGGTTTAGAAAAAGTTTAATTGATTAAGGCAGTAATTATTAATAAATCGTAATTAATTCACTCGATGGCCGCAGTGTAAAGATAAGGACTAAGTAGCAGTACTGGTACTGGTAGTAGGAACTTATCTGGCAAGTAGATGTTGTAGTTCTTTTTTCCAACCTCTAACCGATATCTAAAGTAGTGTTGCCCTAAATCGGTCAAAAGCAGACCAAAGCCGCCTAACTGTTGCATGACAAAGAACAAGACTGGTAAAAAATCTATTTAAAAAAAATAAAAATTAAGGCAAAATAGTTATTAATACGTGACGATTTTGAGTTACTATATGTAAAGAATTGGTATGACCAATATGCTTTTGCATTTAACTCTTTTAATTTTTTATTCGGGCTTAGTTAGGTTTCTCCTATCTAAAAAATTACAGTAATGTCTCTATAGTAATAAGTTAATAGGTAATTGCAAGATTGTCGCGAGACTCTTGCGCAAGACCAAGACTTGTTTTGTTCTCTTATTTGGGCAACACTAATCCAAATGGCTCCATCACGTTCTTAAGGAGTAAAAACTCGGAAGTCCAATTACATACTGCAAATGATAATTTTATACATACTTTTCATCACTGAACCCAAAAAAATCCTAAATGCGGTTTTTAATAACCGAAGTTACTTTTAAATTAATTTTCTAATTGGGCATTCTTAAGTAACCCCAACAACTCAACACGCCCATTTTAATGACGAAGCCATTACGTTAATTACCTACATTTATCCGGTTATGGGACTTGCGACTCCATATTGAGTAAACACTTTTTTTTATTAGGAATATTATTAAGCTATAAATGGCAAAACTCTTAACCAGTTATTTCATAATTCGTGGAGATCGTGCAATTATTCTTATTGTAAATTAATTAAATAGTCAAAAATGATGTTAGTATATCTGTATTAGACTGTAAAAAACAGTAAAAAGCTAGACTATTACATCATTAATAAAATTATTTATAGGTAATTACTCTAAAAAAAAAAGAAACTGTATGAAATTATGCATAAGCATTTTTTAATTTAATTTCAATTATTGGTCATGAGGTTGTATTATAATATCCTGATTCCATTTTCTCCTTTTATTCCAATCCTTTATTCCAATTTTTATTTGTTGAGCAAACTTTTTTTTTGTTTCCTTTACTTCTTATAAAGCACTGGTGGAGGGGTACTTTATTTCTCGGGCCTAGTTTATTTCTGCTTTTCAAGGGTTTAAAGGAACCTAAAACTAAAGCTAAATTATATTTAGTTCATGTTGTTGACTGGATTTAGAATAGTGTTGCCCAAATGCGAGACCGAGACGAGTCTTGGTCTTGAAAACTCAGTCCTGGTCATGATCTTGGTCTTGAGCAAGAGTCTTGCAGTTACTTATTAACTTATTACTATAGAGATATTAATGCATTTTTTTACATACGAGAAACCTAACTAAGCCTGAATGAAAAATTAGAGAAGTTAAATGCAAAAGTATATTGGTTATACCAATTATTAACATATAGTAACTAAGATCGTCAAGTATTAGTAAATGTTTTGCTAAGTACAAGACCAAGACCGATTTTGGGCAACACTAATTTAGAGTGGCTTGATTTGAGCTTGAATTTTGTTGCTAACATATTAGTATTAAGAATGGGATGAGGGTACTGAAAGGGGGGTTTCCGTAATTGGATCTTGCAGACATGGCAACATACCTCCAAGGCGTCTGAAAATAAGATGGCCTCGTGAGCTACTTATGTAAATATATTATTAGAGTGCTACCAATGAGTAGATTTTCAACAAGCGTTTTCATGTGATCGTTTTATTACCTTGTGCACATTTACTTGATGTATTTTTAATTTATATAGTTGTAAATTTCATTAATAAATAAATTTTAAAAAAGGCAATATTAATTTTTTTATATATTTTTTTTGACACGTGCTTACATTTATTTTAAAAAAGGATATATTTAGGACTATAGGAAGAAGAAACCTAAGTCACCGGTATTTTAAAACGAGTTTCATTGTGTTGTGGAAGAATGCTTTTTTTCTCTCTCTCTTTTTTTTTAATCAGCAGATGCCTCTAATTGTTTTCCATACATGAGGTCGAAAGTAGGAAGCCCCGAGGTGTTCACATTCCAAGCCGACGTGCAGGAAGCGAGGAACAACAACAAGTTTCTTGATCACGATGAGCCGGCGCCATTTCTAGATGCGGTTCCATTTAAGAGGGACAAAGAAATACGAAAGGAGGACAGAGAAGAGGAAGAAGCGCAGAAAGTTGAGCAAACCGAATGAATGGGGAAAGTACTCTCCGCACCTACATCGCCCCTCCCCAAGTTCGTTATGGCTCATGAAGAACTCCAAATTAAAAGCTCCTAATCATCCTCCTCACTTTTTGTAGTCTGTGTTTCCTCGCTCTCAATTTTCAAAATAAGCTTTCATTAAGGATTCTGAAGAAAGGGCGACACAATTGGATTTGAGTTTTCACTATTTATTCGTTAATTTGCAACATAGGTATACAAAACAACACTATAAAACACGTAACTTTTAAATTATTACGAACAACTTCAAAAATTCCTACTTTGCAAGATGATATTCCCAAATCATATTTTTTTTTCATTTTCATTTTTCATATAATGCTTCTTGAAGTTTTGGAATTTCTATTCCTTCTTCGAATGTTTTTTCAAGATGTTCTCTCGTTAGTTTTCCTGTATTGTGTGTTTTCCCATATTGTATGAAATTTCTACAGAGCAAGATAGCTTAATGTCTTACTCAAGGACAATTATTTAGTTTAATCAGCCGTGGATCGAGTCTATATAGTGCACTTTTTATTATAATAAGATACTCTTTATTAATTAACTGATTAAGGAGGAAAACCTGACGGTTGAGAGTGATCCCGGCTCTGTCACTTGAGGGCACATCTGTTGGCCTTACAAAGTACTGAACCCAATAAATACCTTCATGGTTAGTTGGGATACAGGATTTTATGAAATGTCTAATTACTAAGAAATTTGAATTATATCCTTGGCTCAATTTATCTAAATATACAACTATACGTAGAATATAGTAATGAAGACGAAAGGGGTATGTTAATAAAATATTTTAAGAATAAGATTGAAGGCCCGATAGATCAAGAAAAATTCAACTATATAAATTATTTTGGAGGCTATTATTTTTATTACTTATTTATAATATGTATATTGTAAATATATGAATTATACATTTATTGAAAATCATAACTAAAATCGAATCTTTTCTCACTTTTGCTTGGGCAACAAATGAAAAGAGATTACTTCATTGATACTTACCGGGGGGAAATTGAAGATAATTTGAAAAAATTGAAATGCTGAATTTCTGCCAAATAAAGTTTCGTTTTTTATACATTTTATAATTTTTTACCGCCTTTATTACCACCCAAAATACATCTCTAACATCAATTTAACTCGCGCACAAACCCATTTTTACAATACATGAATAATTTTATAATTATTGATAATATAAAAATAAAATGAACTAACTTTGTACAATCGTAATTAGATTAGTAAAGTTTATTTTACACAGCAACATCATTTCACCACATTTATATAACAAATGTAAACATCGTCTCTGATTTCATACCTTCAGGCTTGTGAGAGCACCAGACCAGAAAACGAACCTCATTTAACGATTTTAACGCCAAATTATTGTTTTCACAAAACTAATATTGAAATTATAAATGAACTATAAGCAGATTTTTTGTACATTATATGATGCAATCTTATCAATAACTAAAAAGGTCTCTGATTTCTCTACCTTAGAAAAGTTATTTCATTTATTGTATATAATCTGTAATGTAAATGTAATAAGGTAAATACTTCTGCTATCACTTAGTTTTTAGTTATTTTTTTTATTGTAATATGTATTTTGGCCAGACGGAATGTTAATTTTTATGTACAAAATTGTTATTCTTAAGGGACTTTGTCCCAGAATAAAGTTGATTCTTCTAATCTTTGATTATTATTTAGTTGTTATTTTGCTTCTGTTTATTATTTATTTATTTTTTACATATAGTGTGATTGTGATCTTATCTTCCTATGACCAATGTCCAATTGACAGAATGTTACATTTTTCAATAAATAAATTAATAAAAAAAAGAAAAGATGGATTTTACTTCTAGTAATGCGAAATTTGTATAGTCAAAATTAATTGATGAAGATTTCAAAAATGTAGATTTCAGTAACTTTTAAAATTATTTTGAAGAACATATACATACAAAATTAAAAAATATGTGAAATAAAAGCAAAAATTATTTTAAATAAACATCCTGTAAAAATTTAACATTTAACTGCATTTACAAATATTTTAGTGGCATATTGAAACTCATCAAATTATTCAAAAATCAAAGATCAAGAATATTTTGTCCCTTTAATAACAGAAGTTTTCTTTAAAAAAAAAAAGATTAATTTTAATATGAGTTTCACTTCATGATTGTAATATGTTTATATTACATACATAAAAAAAGAGAAGTAATCTATAAAAAAAACGATAAAATATTTTAGCTATGATTTTAGATAAATATATATTTTATAAAGAACCGAAAGCCTTAGTCGGAGTATGAGTACGATTCGTCCTGTTAAGTTCTATTTCAGCTGTGCGCAACCGCAGATATGTTCAAATGGAAGTTTAAAAATATTGGCGTTCAAGCAATGACCTTTTTTTGAGAAAGTATGAAGACAAGATTTCTATAATGACTATTGCAAAGTAAAAATAAAGTAAAGTAAAAATAACAAAATGGAAAATGTATTGCTATTTGCTGGAAACATACAGACACATATCAAGAGTAGTTCCTACAATACTAATGACTAATGCGACTATCATTGTTAATTATAATGACTCCATCGTGATTGATGAGGGCTGAGTATGTCAACAACAGGATGTTTGTCACACCGGGGTGGTTAATCTGCTAACGAGCAAGCTTGGTCCTTCACCCTAATTTCATGTACAACCCTTACAGTTCATCAACACTATGAATTGGAAAGCTCGATGGCACAATTTAACGTTGTACCTATGTTAAATGTATATGTATAAATTAAAAAGTTCGGATGATTCAAACAGCATTAAGTTTATGAAATGAAAAGTTTCAAATTAAAAGATAAGTGGAAGTGTAAAACAGACCGCAGTAGGTGTAATTGTATATCATCGATGAATATTTATATTCTACTTTCCTTTGCACTGTTTTTAAGAATAAGAGGAGAATAAAATACCTTGGGAGGGTGGAGAATATTTATGCGCCATCGGCCTTGAAAAGAGGAGAATGGGCATCCCTAAATCAAAGAAACTAATTAATCGACGTTTCGCCAATTCAAGAATCCTAGAAACCACAATTTGCTGCTAATTCGTTTTTCTTGAACACCACAGATATTAACTTGAATAGCGTAAATAAGAAAAATTTTACGTCTAGTTAGTTCGTGAGGTTACTCTATAAGTTTTTAGCTGTCGTTGAAATTTAAATTTAAAATGACATAATGACATTGCGGGCGTACCACAAGGAAGTGTTTTCAGTTCTCTTCTCTTTTCTCTCTACACATCTGATATTCCCGAGCAACTTTCCTCTATAGTTTCGCTGACGACACAGCTATTATTTCATCCCCAAAAAATCCTACTATTGCTTCAGATGCCCTCCGAAATCATCTGCACGACATAGAAAAATGTTTAACAAATGGGGAATCAAAGTTAATGGCGGCAAGTCGAGTCATGTTAGCTTCTCCCTGAGAAAGATTTCTGGTCCTGCTATTTCAATAGTTAACAAGCCTGTTCCCTAAAAAATTCACATACGATATCTCGGACTATACTTGGACAAAATCTCACCTGGACCATACACACCAAATTAAAAAAACAAGAACTGACCATACGATACAAACAACTGTCACATCTTTTGGACTAAAGATGTTCTCAACTTACAAAATAAGCGAATGATCCACACCACCATACTAAAACCTTTTTGGACGTACGGAGCAGAATTTTGAGGTCCCATGAAACACGCCCACACAAACAAAATACAAACTGCCTAGTCCAAAATTCTTCGAAAAATCGTAAATGCGACCTGGTATATTTCAAATCACACCATTCGCAGCGACATGAACATTTCAACAGTAAACAGGATGTTGAAACTTTTTAAAAGGAAAAAAGTTCTTAAAATAAAAGTTCTGTAAAACCTTCACTTTAAAAGTTGCAAGAGAAAACATTTTAGTTCCCAAAGAACTGAAAAACTATTGAACATAAAAATTCCGATGTACCGAATTTATTTATAAATAATTTTTTTTCCATTTCACCTCGTATTTGCAATATGATTAATTTTCAGCAGGAACAAAAACTATTTTAAAATGCAAATAAAAACATTAATATCATCTGATGTTTTACGTAACACGGTTATATTTTCAGTTTCACTGATTGTTTATTGTTGTTGATAATTGGAGTTATCACCAGAAAGGTTCGTTCCTCAACAGGTATTTGTCATAAAATTCTATTTGTTTATACATTTCGGCCTCGCCTACAAACAAGGTGTCAGTAATTAGTCATTAATTTAATGATATTGAACCTGAAATTTCAAGCCACACGCCCATTACTGCTTATGCGGTGAAACAGAATCGCTTCTCAAAACAGAGCTTTTATTTGGGAATACCCATTTCAGCAGATAGCGATCTGAGACTGAGAGATCTACAAGGGCATCTATGTGAATATGGGAAAAACGACAGTCTACATCCTGGTACGGTCCATAATATCTCCAGCATGAGAGAAAAAAATTAAGGAAGCCAAGGAGACTTTGATACTTGTAAATGGAACAACAATTACATAATGAACTGAAAATGTTGTCTGATATTCGATTATTACTGGAACTATTTCTCTTCCTCCAATCCATTTCTATATAACGAAGTAATTTGCTTAAAAGGAAATAAATGTTGATGAATTTAATAATTTTTTTTTTTTATCGATCCTCGTTATCGGGCTCAACTTCTGATTATAATCAAAGCTCTGTATATATCTCTGTCATGTCCATTCCAATAATTTAGGAACGAAGAATCAAATTTTAATAACTCAAAATAATGGCAAATCGGCTCTCCCTTCTCCCCTCCCCAAAAAAAAACAAATGTGACATGGTGCCCTTTACCTTGCAGGAATAGATTTAGTAACTAAAATTTTAATAGTTCAAAGTTAGGGAAAACTGTATCCACTGAACAAATACAAAAATGGAAATGGTGTTAGTTACTTCAAGGGCACAGATATCATTTACCACTAATGAAGGAGAAGATGATCTTAAAAAGGATTTACGATCTAGATCACTGTATTTAGTCAAGAAGAGTTCAAAAAAACAAAACAAACATTAAAGTTTTGTTTTTTTGAACTCCTCTTGACTCTTTTGACTCCGCCATTAGTCTTCACGTATCATTGGGGCTGTTTTAGGCGATAAAAGCTGCAATCGTTTGGTCCTCTTCTTATATAGATGGTATCAAGGGAACATGTGGTTTATAATAACCAGGACGCGATCACAAACATTCCCTCTCATCAGGATGGTTGGCAACCTTTTGCATACGTCTCTATCCTGTTGTTATTTTTTACGGGATAGGGTTATTAGCCCTGTGCCCAATCCCCAAATCTGGAGGACCAAAGGTTTTTTTTGGATAGGAGGGAGGGGGTACCACCCCCTTTGCCAACCAGATTGGAAGGTCTGCGCATATGCTTTATGCCCTACAGTTTTCCAACCCATTTCTTTATGATATCAACTCAAAGCACCGCCTGTTTCCTGTAGCGCTTTCTTGTTGTAATGATTATATTGTATATATGTATATTGCACACATAAAGACCCATTTGTTTTATTATAAACTACCTATTTAATCCGCTTATTTTGGATTTAATGCAATAATTTTTGAAGGCATCATAAAGAAATATTTTCCATGGTATTTATTACTATATTTATTTTGTATATACATACATATTTTTTTTTCCATTCCATCCAACGGAGAACTATGATTTGGAGTGCTTAAGATCGTCACTGATCCTCCACGACAAAATCAAGATAGAGTTCAGTATATAACAATTATAATAATTGTTTTGAAGAGCCTTTGAATAATTCTGAACATGAATATTCAAGGACCTGATCTTTCCAGATCTGCCCCGACGAGCAGCGGACCACGAAGGATCACAGAGGCAGGAATGAAGACATCTCGACAGGCAGGTGTAGAAAGCGTGAATCCTCTGGTGACATCACGGTCGTGTCCTGAGATGGTGCAGCAGTTTATTTTGATTTCGGATATAAAACGTTTATGGAATCGTCTATTTATTATTAATAAAGTATTATTTTACTCAAGTGTATTAGATATCGAATAACGTACCTAAGATACATAAATAAAACGCCATTGCATCTCAAAATTAATTAATTAATCAATACAGTGTAAAAATATAATTATTTTTTATATTCATGATAGTGGATTGATAATTAACTGATAGGTCTGACATACGGCACCTTTCGTGAAAACAGCCCTGATGGAGGCCTGAAAGTTTAGCCGAAACGTCGACACGAAATAAATAAAAATAATTATTGAAGGGAAAACTTCTTTAGGCGCGTTTCGCACTTTTTTTGTGAAGAGTGAATTAGATTGAGGCATCAGATCTCCGATGTGTAACGCTCGAGTAAAGTCGCCTATAGTCGACTAATTGAAATGTTTTTGCATATAGATTAAAATATCTCATCAGCTGCATATTGTGAATTTCAAAATTTCATCCTTTCTGTAATGGGCTATTATTCAAAATTGTATGTTAATGTGACGTCGTGTTAGGTAGACGAAAAGGAAAAAAATAGTGTCGAAAACAGAATGATAACGAATTTTATTAAAGATATGGATTCAGTTAGCTCAGAAACTAAAAATCGTACCTACATACTATAATCCAGGGAATTGTTCAGCATTTCATCCTCTCTGTAATGGGCTATTATTTTTAATTTATATTTCATATAATAAATTTCGCCTTGTAAATGTTTTCACTTCTATCGTGTGGTCTAAAGCGCAAACCTTTTTTTTTTTTCTCTAGTTTTTTTAATCATTTCCTGTGAAGATAGATAGGGTCCCTACTATATAGGTGGAAATGTATATATATATATATATATATATATATATAGAGAGAGAGAGAGAGAGAGGATTTATTGATAAAGAAAGCTACAAACCCTTTCAATTTATAGTATTTACTGTCTTAAGACATGAAATAATAGTCAGTTTTCCCATACCCGTGAATTTCAAGTCGAAAATTTGAATTTACCATTCAAAAAGTTTACTTGTTTTCGTTTTATCGTTTATATCAGTGAAGCTATGAGTTCCATAATAAAATCATAAGTGAAATTAAAGCCGACAAAATTTTAAACTGAAATGGTTATATTGCTTATTAGCTATATTTTATAGTTTCCGTGATATCCGTCCTCGTAATTCACTAACTTCGAAAAAAAATTGATTTTGCCTCCCATTTTTATCATTATTTGAGTCGCTAACTCTTTAGTTTTTCATATTACGAAACAGTATAGGAAAGAAACTTGTTTAACATTAAATTTTCTTTAAGAATATATTTTACTTTGCTATCTTATCTTCAACCATTCAAAAGATAGAGCAATTATAACTTGATGATTAAACTCCGAAACTATACAGAAAAACTTACTTTTCGTAAATTTCAATATCACACAGTTCTTAATCTGTATATATATATATATGTGTGTGTGCGTGTATGTGACTGTATATATTCAGTTATATATATATATATATATATATATATATATATATATATATATATATATATATATATATATATATATAAAATAATGTATACATATGCATGTTGTGTTATTTGCAGATTAAGAGCTGCGTAATAACGAAAATTGCTAAAAGTAAAAATTTACTATTAAACTAATTTCTTCCTCATGACCTTTTTAGTGAAATGGAGAGTTGACGATTCAAAAACAAATTTTTGTCGAAGTTAGTGAATTACGAGGAGGGATATCACGGAAACAATAAAATATAGCGAAAAACTAATATCACCATTTCAGTTTAAAATATTGTCATATTTAATTTCATTCATAAAATTATTATCTAGAACGAATAATTTCAATGATTTGAGCGAAAAACCGAAAAAAAGTAAACTTTTTGAATGGTAAATTCAAATTTTCGACGACATCCACGGGTATCGGGTAACCGACTATTATTTCATGCCTTAAGAATGTAAATATTATAAATTGAACGGGTTGGTTGCTTTCTATATCTGTAAGCTCTATATGTATACGTTGACTACCTACAAAGGGCCTCTATCTATCTTCACACGACCGTCATTTTGTGTTCCGGCGGCTATATGCTGGTAGACGTGCATTTTTCTCATCAGCCCTGTGTATATGGCCAATTTATAAGGGCAAACCTTAGTGTGAAATATAACACCTTTTTTGCCATGGACTCCCGGGGAAAATAATTTAACATTTTTTTCCAACTTAAATTAGTTATTTCTACTTTATTGCTTTCAGCAGCTTTCTTGTAGTACTGTAAACCTATTGCTCTTCTGCTTTCTTTCATATTGTATATCTCCATAGCTATATATATACTTCTCTTATTACTTGAACATATAATAATTATAATATATAACAATGTAATATATCATAATTTGTATCATCAATATTGTTATTCTTAAGGGGCTATGTCCCAGAATAAAATTGCTTTTCTATTCTATTTCTATGATGATGGCTGTTCAACTTAAGTTTTATTCTACTTTTTTAAAAACAATAAATTTGGTGATACCACTCTTCGATTATTTATTTTTATAAATTCAATGGAATTAATTGAAAAGGAAGATTAAAACTTTCATGAATTTGAGTATCTCTTAAAGTTAGATTAAAGAGAAACTTTTAGCGAAACTTCTTACACATTACATAATTGTAAGCAAGATGCTAGCGTGAATATCAAAATATGTCATTAGATCTATCAGTTCTTTTTTTTTTTTTTTTGGCGTTAATTACACAGGCCATGACAGGCAGAGATGGAGCAGGCTTGTTAATGCGGAAAAAAATGAATTACACATAAATTAGTTTAAAATTAAACAAAGAAAGACCTTATTCATCCGTTGAAAGAACTACGAACTACCCAGAAATCGAACGGACTAGGTGAAGGACTATCGATTAGTTTTGTAGCCGGTTCCATTAAAATGTGTTTTATTTTTCTCAAAATTTTAGTTAATAATGTGGACATTCTTTAATTAGAATCACCGAGTATGTATATGATACGTTAAATTTCATCATGCATGATGGTAGTTTATTGTGATAGTTGAAGGTCTCTCATCTAACTACATTTTACCACGGCAATGCATCTTTTATGACACAAAGTAAAAAAAAACAACTAATAATATTTTTAATATCATTAAATAAAAATATAGATAGTTGGGGTGTTCAGTCAAACAAATAAAAAGTAAAAATAAATAAATGATATTTTTTTATTCTTTCCTTATCCCTAACTTTGGGCCGAAACGTCGGCACAAATAAAAATAAATATCATTCATTTATTTTTACTTTTTTTTTTGACCGAACATACCAACCAACTTCTCTTTAATTTTCACTACATTTAACTATCAATCCACTATTAAAAATAAAAATATAGATATTTGAACACGAATACAGACAAACAACTTAAGGGAAATCCATGCCGGCGGAGCTTAGGGTAGTAGATAACGCTCAAATTATGTGAAATCATTCTTCTATAACTTATTTAATATTTTTGAATTTTTTAAACATTTTTTTTCAGTCGCTTGCAATAATCTGTATAAGTTGATTGTTGCTTAAATAAGAAAAATTCTCTTTGCGCACTAAAAGTGTCTCACTTATCTCACCTACTTCTAAATTCTTGAAATACATATCGAAAACAAATATTTATTTTGAGAATTATTTTATGAAAATATGAATTCGTTCCAAGTAACAAATAATTTTTAAAAATATTGAATTTCAATTCAAAATTCATGGTGGACATCTTCAACAGCGTAATATTGCAATGAAATTATATTCAATATTCCAAAATATGTCTTGTAGATATAAGAATAATTCCTGCGCGTATTATATTGAGCAACGGTTACAATTATTCTTAATGAAATTAATATTTGTCATATTAAGTATTAAAGTAATGTTTCTCCTTGGTTTTAAAAAATAGATATAAACTGAAATTTATTCGGAAATAAATATCCGAATATTTAACTTGATAAGTATCACCTTATTAGTATATAATCCTTGATTATTGTAGTTAGTGTTGCCCAAAATCAGTCTTGGTCTTGCAAAATGCAAGACCAAGACCAAGACCAAGGCCGCCCAACTGTTGCAAGACCAAGACCAGGACTGGTAAAAAAAAATCGACCTTTCGAATAAAAATTAAGGTAAAATAGTTACTAATACTTGACAATCTTTGTTACTATATGTTAATAATTGCTGTAACCAATATACTTTTGCATTTAACTCCTCTAATTTTTAATTCGGGCTTAATAAGGTTTCTCCTATCTAAAAAATTACAGTAATATCTCTATAGTAATAAGCTAATAAGTAACTGCAAGACTGTTGGGAAACTTTTGCGCAAGACCAAAACCTTGATCAAGACTGAGTTTGCAAGACCAAGGCTCGTCTCGGTCTCGCATTTGGGCAACACTAATGTAGTATAATATATCATGAATATATCTTATGATACAATATAAACTAGAGAAAAAATGTATTAATGCCATTATTACCGCTTTCTGGGATCTAATTCATAAGTTTTTCTTCCAACATCTCAAGTCCTAACTTCTTTAGCCATCTCCTGTGCCTTCACTAATCGCCGATGACCTGTCGTACTAAAGCAATCCTAGTATCCGCAGGGTGCGGTGACCTACCCCAAATCGGAGTCCATCCGTCCGGAAGAGTATTGTCGGACAAGGACATCCGGTACAATGTACTCCAGTGCTGCCAACAGTCGAGTGCGGTAGGTCACCATACAATAAATATTGGAACTAAGTTCGATGACTTTTTTTCATGATCTTTGTTATTCGTGAACATGTCTTTTCGAAATAGCACTAAATCCTTGGATACTCTCCTAAAAAGTAATCATAGGTGATCAAATACAACGCGGGAGGGACAATGTGTAGATCTTTTTTATAATCATTTTATTAATGTCAGCCGTAGTGGAAATGGCAATATTTTATTTAAATGTGATGTACCAAGATATGTTTGTTGAGTAAAAATAAGTTATCTACTCACCAAAATCAAAGATGTGTATAACGGAGAAGTGGCCAAAGGAAACTGAATCATAGAGAATAAACAGAGCGAATAGAACAATTGTCATTGTTGCGCAAAGTTTTAATGGCGACAATTACAAAGAACGGTAAATAGTAACACGTTAATGAGAAAAGTATGAGACAGGTCAGCCAGCAGTTACAGCGGGTATAATAGAGGGCAGTAGTGTTGTCTGGAGCTCAAATCTCCGCCTATAATGAGGGTTGTACCACGCTTGGCGAACTGTGCAGTCACAGATAAGAGTAAAAATATTAAATAAAACACGTCAGTGATAATTCAAACATATCCTCCATATCCTCAACTATTTTTAAGGGTCTTCATTTGTAGAACATTTATAGAAACCTGAAGATCTATGATGGTATCCGCTTCGAAATCGGCAAACAAAATTTCTTCTCTCTCGATTCCTCCACTTTTGAAACAATTTAAGCAATGAAACCTCGCAATTCATTCAATGACTTTAATAAAAGTTGTAGTAGAAAAAAAAGATCGGAAATGAGATGATGTAATTGATAAAGAAGAATTAGAAAATTTTCTTCATCCATCAATTTTCATCGCAACTGAGAGATATACTACCGTTTATATATATATATATATATTAAATAATTTGTATGACGCTGAATTCAAATACACTTTATAAGTTTATTTACATAACCTCACTAAATTCACTTTAGAGAGAAGTGTACAGCAACTCTTAGGTATTTTCAAAATGAACGCTGAATATTGCATTGAAATATATGGGTCTCAAATCAGTGCACACGATTTTTGAAAATATTTTAAAAATTATTTGAGTTTTACGTTAATAATTGCAATAATAATAGTAAGACTTAATAGAATAATTCGTCACTATCATTTTTTTATATAACTAAGCTTAATATTAGTGCGCAAATAGCTTTTAATGATTACAGTGCAATTTAAAAACAAAAGAATTGATTTGATTTTAAGAAATATATTGTTGATTAGAGGGCTTAAAGGAAAAAAAAATATATTTTCATAAAGTTTCGGTAACACCAGAATTTTTATTTTCGATAGTTTTTCAATTCTTTTGGAACTAGAACTTTTCCCCTAGTATTTTATTTAAATGTTCTTTCGATTTCACTAACAAGTCGAAATAAAAAATTAGTTTTATCCATAGTACCTCAACAAATGACGCATTACAATCCTGTGTAATTTATTTAGGACAAATTATAACTCTAATTTAAGCCCAATTGCTATTTATTTTTCATTTAAGTAAATGTTTTTTAAAAAGTTTTTACCTAAAAAAAATTCACAGAAACTGCATATAATTCAATAAGTTCATATGAAATATTAGCAGCTAGTGTTTCAACTTAGTGAGCTCAACTTTAAACTTGTTTTGAACAATGGACTTTCGCCATTTGTAAAAACCGTTTTATTTTCATTAGAAATCATACATTCTATATGATAATAAATATATAAATATGAGCCGATTTTAAAGGAAAAAAGCATCACACTTAATTCGAAACATTGTTAAAAGAAATAAGTATTTTAAAAAATTCATACATTGTAAATACCATTGATAACATTGTAATTGTAATTGAAATTTTATCTTTGCACAGAGGATTAAACAGACAAACCTTAAAATGTATCTGAAATAAAATAAAAGGAAATGTAATGGGGACATATTAATGACAATATGTCCTCGAAATTTCTCGAAGAGTTACTGAGAACGGCGTGTTGAATGCACAAAACGATTACTTTAAAAATTATTGTTTAATGAAACATTGTTAAAACGGTTTCTAATTGAGCCAATTATATGCAAGGAGTCATAAATCGGTTATGGGTTATGGGTATGACGACCAATATAATCAAGGAGGAAATTGATTTTGATATGAGACTTTAACAGTACTGTAAATGGAACTCTAATCTGCATATCGGAAATAAGAATTTCCTGCATTTTGTAGTTTTCATACTTGATCGATTACTGAACTGAAGGAACTATCCATTACCGAAGGACTCTCCCTTCGTCACGGGATCTCTCCGGCCTTGGTTCCGATACAGCTTTATGTGTTCCTGACATCACCTAGAAGAGGGAGGATATCTTCTAATCTAAAATGTCAACCCACACAATGACGCCAAATAATGTAAAATAACGGCCACGCTTTTGTGACACTTTCACTGAACTTCTTTAGATATAAATGCTATCTGAATTAATTTCAGAAATCTCTAATAGCGGTTTTTGCTGGATAGAAACTTCAGATAACGATAAGCTATTATATGAAAGAACCTGACTTGGGTCCACTCACATCCTCAGAAATATTTTTATTTAAAAACCCTCCGAGGCGTCTGAAAAGAAGATGGCTTCTTGATCTACTTATGTAAATATATTATTAGAATGCTACCAATGGGTAGTTTCTCGACAAGCGTTTTCATGTGATTGTATTATTACTGTGTGCACATTTACTAACTGTATTTTTTAATTTATTTTTATTAATTACAAATTAATTTGTATTTTTTAATATTCAGATTAATTTGTAATTTACTATTTTTTTATAAATATCAATGAATAAAAAAATATATATTTAAAAAAAACTGAGGTGTGTTTTAGACCACACAATATAAGTGAACACATCACCAAGGCGAGATTAATAATATGAAATCTAAATTAAAAATAATAGCTCATTATGAGGAGGATGAAATGCTGAATATTTTCCTCGCATATAACACGATGGTCAGACTTTTAGTTTCTGAGATATTTTAATCCATATATTCCATAAAACTAGTTATCTGTTGGATTTTTACACTATTTTTTCCCTTTTCACCTCTCTAACACGGCGCCGCGTTAAGATATAATATTGAATAATAGTTTATAACAGAGAGGATTAAATGCTGGAGGATTAACAATTCTCTGGCTTACAGTATGCGGGTCCGATTTTTAATTTTCGAGATATTTTAATCCATATGCAAAAACAATTCAATTAGTCGAGTCCAGCAGACTTTATTGACCCCGAGGGTTACACATCGGAGATCTGACGGATCAATCTAATTCACTCACCACAAATTATTAATATATAAAAATATAAATATTTAATCCTTTCCAACACATCTCCATTTAAAACAAACTAATAAATAAATAAGTAATAAATTAATTTATTTAAAAAATCTCATTATTACTACTAGTTCTTTTCAGGAACATATGGTTACTGTTAGTGGGAAAGATCCTAAGTAAACATTGAGTATTTTATAGGAGAGCGTAAAAACTTATTATTTCTTAATGATTTATAAGTATGATTCCGTATTTCATTTTCATCTGCTATTTTTCACAGTAGCAGACTACTTTTAATGCTCTCATGTAAAACAACCAATTTTTACTCTATTTGTACTAATACACAAATAAAAAATAAAAACTCTATCATATTCAAATTGCTCTCAATATGATAATTTTGTTAATATTTAGATATTTCTATTACAAGAATGATACAAATTTGGTACGTTACAATATGGCATCCACTGATCCATCACAATTTAGAAGACGTCAGAAGCAGTTGATACTGACCTGAAAAAATGGAAAAAAAAATTATTAAATTATAATGATCAACTTATACTTAAACAATAACAGATCGAATAAAATAATTCTAATAGCAATATATTTTTTCTCTATTTTTATTAATAAAGACTGAATAAAATATTAAAACTCATTTAATAGATTTTTATTTCATAAATTGATTAACTTTCTACACAAAAATAATTTTATGTAATTATTAATGGATTATGTACTCATACGAAACACCTTATATCAATATTTAATAATTTCCAAGATATTATAAGAATATTTTTATTTATTTGCAATTATCATAATCATCCAACACTGTATACATTTTATATAATCCTACGAAATCCAAAAGAGTATTTCACTGTCCTTAATGTCCTTAATGTGATGAATATAAGTATCTATTCAAATATATATTAAATAAATACAAAAAAACTATTAAATGTTTAATAATTCACTTATATAACTAAAAATAAAAATAATGCAGCAATTTTTAAAGAAATATTGGTAAGCATTGAATTCTCATACTTTAATAGATTAATATTTAATTATAAAAATATAATCGAAATTAAAAACAATAACAAGCTGTATCCTAAATCACATTTGACAAATACTCCATAGTATTTGAAGATAGTATTTGAACACACTTTAATGTCTATTCTTTTATACTGCATAACAAAATAAAATTCTTAAGAGTGAACCCTAAATTAGCAAGTAGTCATAAACAATAAGCATGGGTAGACAGCTCTTATCATCAGCTGCCAATGTTTTCATAATCATCAGACATAGTAAACTTAATCATTAACTTGTTGTTTTTTAAAATTTATTTTACAACGCTTCATGGTATATTTACAAAGATCTATATGTCAAAAGAACCAAAGTATTTTCTATAAGATGGTTAAACCTGTTCGATTTTACTCGTTTTTTCAATTCCTCCTTTTCACCATCTTCCATTCGGACAAGTCAGGAAAAGCGTGGGATATATGGGTGATTTTTTCTTTATCGCAAAGTTGGGTAACACATCCATTTAGAGCTCGGAGACATAATCGCGTTATACCTACGAAGAATCGTGTTATGCAAAAGGCAGAATAATATATTTCAGTTAGGTAATACCGAAAGGAATCGTATATTCCAACTGTAAGCGATAGTCGAAATAACGGAAACTCTACGGGGTCAGTCGGGTGGAAAAGAGTTCTATGGGAATATCGAAACCGGTAAATATTATTGCCACACTTTGTAAAAGCGACCATTTGAATCAAGCTCTTACAACATATAATATTTTTTATTGTATTTTAAATTCATAACAAACCAGTTTCAAGAGGTATTTAAAAGTTATATGCCCAATTGAAAAAAAGAGCTTCCTGCCAAATATACCATTACGGATGAGGTACTAAATTATTACCGGTCTTAAACATTCGGTGCCCCTGAACAATGACGTCATCTTCCTCCTCCATAAAAAAATTTAATTTATTTCTTAAGCTGCTTTATATCGTGTAGTATTTAAATTTGATTTCATTCAATATTTCTCTAATACACTTACTTACTTTATTAATAGGCTGAATTTATTTATTTTAATTTGGATTTATATAGATATATGTGAAATGAAATCTGCTTTAACGAAAATATTCTAATAGATACTCTTACAATTCAAAATCCTTCTCTAAATACAGGACAGTCTAGTTTTTAAGTCAATTTGTAAGTCACCACGAGAACTGGTGAACTGAATAGGATGGGCAGATATTCTTCAATTAAAAACTCTTTATGGCTTAAGATCAATAAATAATTCAAATTTCCAACGGAGTATAAAATTTCTTCGAGCTCAATACACAGACTGGATGATTAAACGATTAAGAAGTATTGCAAATATGTATAAGTTATTTCATTGAAGGAAGTTATTCGACTGTTCTACACATCATGGGTGATAAATATTGAGGACGCAGTCATTATAAGGTTTTTATTAGTACCAACGTTTCAATCCAAACACGTGGGTCATCACCAGGGCGTGGTTCGAGCACTGAAGATATTCAAGTACTCAGTACTTGAATATCTTCAGTTTCAGTTCAATTTTTTTTTTCTCTGGTTACCCCTCCTATATCGTCATTTCTGGCGTACGGGGGGTTGTGGAGGTAAAACTAAACCTATTCTAACCAGAGAGAGAAGATTGAGATTCATTCCGTGAGTCAGCCACAAAGTACTTGAATATCTTCAATGCTCGAACCACGCTCTGATGATGACCCACATGTTTGGGTTGAAACGTCGGTACTAATAAAAAGCTTATAATGACTGCGTCCTGAATATTTATAAATTATTTTAATACAATTTCTTTTTCTCACGTTATCCCTCCTATCTCGCCATTTCTGGCGTATGAGGGGTTGTAGATAAAACGAAACCTATTCTAACCAGCCACAAAATAAATTTTAACCCGCCCAGGCCTGATTTGAATCGACATCGTTAAAACTCCAGAATGCTAAAATGTACGCTTTAATACGCTCGGTTTCATTTATTAAAATCGCCTCATTTTAATAACATGTAAGTCATATTCTGAGCTTTAAAATTATACAATACATTATACTAATTGTTTTGTCTTACTTTATTTTCCATATGTTTTTCAAGACAGTTTGTTTACCATATGTTGCTTGCTAAATGGCTTTTGTTTTCATCATATGTCTTAAATTGTCATTTTATGAAGGAAATTGTATCTGTTTTGTTTTATTTTAAAAGGAGTGGTAATTTTAACTCAAATGTTTGCTATAGCCAACTCCGTTAAAATTCATCCTTAATGGAGAGGCTTTTGTCAATAAAAAATATTATTATTATCATCATTATATTAATCATACTCATACAAAAAGTTTTAGGTGGAATCTGAAAGGCTTAGAATTGCTTGGAATGTTAACTTTCAATGAATAAAACTTATATATACAGGTATAATTGACGCAATTTAATTACACTTAAAATTGGTAAGATTTGGCTGCATACTGTACTTTCGCCCCATCTTCGAATTCGAAAACTACTTTTGCAATATCTAAAAGCACATTTTCCCGTTAAAATATACCAATTCTAACTTTATAGCATTTACAGAAGCGGAGCTGTGAGTTATTATAAAAAACGATACTAAAAGCGTATACAAAATGTTCCATTATAACAAGAGTAGAAAAAATAAAAGTTCTTTAGATGATCATAAAAGTATTATTTAAAAAGGTTATTTGTGTTTAAAGTCAATAATGGGAGTAAAGGCGTTGAAGACTCTAGGTTTTTACGTCTTGATGCCTAAATAAACAAACAAACAAAGCAAAAATGCAAATTCTACCTTTCTCAAAAATAGGGCGAACAAAAATTAAGAGGTATTAAGGACGAAAAATTATCATGAACTGCAGCCGAAATTTATAGACGTTGATGACCTCGGGGTTTTACGCCTCTAAGCCCAGAACAACAACAACTGCAGTCGAATGAAAAAGTTATCAAAGATAACAAACTTAATTGATGCATATATAAAAAGTAATACATGAAATACCATAAAATGACAGAACTTTACACCAAGAGGAATACAATTATCAATACTCACCGAATCGACTACCGAATCAATACTCCAAAATTGAATTCACATTTTTGTTTACAATACCCAGAATCAATTTTCGATTTCATTGGGAACTAATTTGTAGTTTCATAGAGGAGGGATTCCTAAGTGTTTTTTTTTTTTCGATTACCCGCTACCACGGAGGATTGTTGTAGAGATACAACCAAAACCTACTCTAACCTGAATGGAAAAATCAAGAATCGTTCTGTGGGTCTGCAACAAAATAAGCGGCGACTTTAGAATGTTTAAGTTTATGCTTTCACCCTCTCGGCCATCACGACCTCATGTTTTCCAAATCTGTCACTCGATTAGTTTTTTTAAACATCAGAAAAAAAAACTTATTTTAGTTTTGGGGTAATTTTATCGCATAAGGGTAAAATGTCCCCTGTTTTTTGTACCCAAAATAATATTTTAGATTTTCAAGCAGTTCTACGATTATGAAATTATAAAGGTTTTTTTTTCAAATATGCTGAGATTATGAAAAAAAAATTGATAGTAGATGAGGATGAATAGTAGCGTAAGGAAGTAGTCGAGGAGGATATCGTGACGGAAGCACGGTCACGAGCGGAAGAGGACAAGGACCATCTGCCAACGGATCCTGGAGGCTGTGGATCACTCAATAAAGGAACTCCTACTTGGTATAGTGTTACTAAAACTATTATCATCTTCAGGTTCAGGCTATGTCTGTATTTTGGAACTTCTTCTGTTAACACACCTGTACTGATCCTCAAGATCTGAAATAACATCCGAATCATTCGCAATTAAAAATCAAAATCTGTACGCTAATTTAAAATCTCATGGCATATAATTGGTTAAAATTGCAGTAAATATAAATTAAAAGCATAATCATGAACAGTAACATGATAGTAAACTTCTTTTTTTTTTAAACAAAGAAAGGGATGGCGAATAGTTTTCTGTAAGTATTCAGCTTTATTTTCCTTATGCTTCATCGAGACCGCAAACACAGGAACAGGATAATGCGACAGGGTGAATAAGAAAGTTCTGTATAAAATGTAATATATTTTATTGTATATATATATATATAAATATAAATATAAAGATGTAAAGCACTGCTAAGATCGGTGACGAATCTCCTTAATGCCACTACACTTAATGATTGGCTGTATGCATATACTTTGCATACTCATAAGCCCATTGAAATGAAAGTGGCGCACACCATCCTTGGAAAATTATTTTGTTTAGAATAACAGTAATGAAAGCTGATATTAAATATGACATTTCAATTATAACGGCTTATTGTGTCGAATATTTTGTTTGTATTTGAGCCTTTCAGATGACAAAAGGATTAGCCATTTCAATTAATTTCAGGGATATTTCTAAAGGAAAAATGTATACCTTAATTCACAGTTCTATACTTCAACACTGCAATTACATTACGCACTGTACAGATATAAATTTTCCAACCAGAAATATTTTAGTGATATTTCTTTACTCAAAAATAATGAAATTTTTGAGGAGGGTTCATTTTCAGGTTCATATTCAGGGGGTGGAGGGCTCATTTTTTTTTTTTTTTTTCTAGGAATCGAAAGATGACAATTTTTATCCAAAGCATTAATTTTGTTGGCCTTATAAGCTATCATCATTGTTCATCCATAAAATAAAATAAATAAAAAAATATATATATATATATATATATATATATATATATATATATATATATATATATATATAGGATCCTAAAGTAATCCAGCAAATGAATCTTTCGGTGACCTATCCTTATAGTCACACAGTCACATTCAAATTATTTCTCTATCGTCGTTCATTATTCAGAAAATATTTTACAACGCGGTGCAATCTAAGTAATCTGAACAATGAGGCTTTCAGAGGTCATTTTTCAAGAATTCTTTTTTTTTTTTTATTATTTCTATAGAAGTAGAATGACCTTAAACTTGATGATGTACTGTCTAGTTTCAATTACTATATTCAATGGGTAAAAGATAACAATATCTCGTGGGAATGAATCCTTTCTCTAAAATGTCTATAAGAAGAAACAGACCTCCAAAAGTCAAAACAAACAAAAATAAATAAATTCTTAAAAAATATGCGAGCAAATTTATTTTTAAAAAGTGAATATAACTCGTACATCCATTTTCCAATAAATTCATACGTATTTATTGAATTTTGGATAATCCGGACGTACTAATACAATTTATTCGGAGATTATAATATATTAAAAAGCATATCTCAATAGAAAAACATTAAATTTTCATAATGTTTTTTTAGTTATTCTAATTTACAACTACATTAACTAAATAATATTAGTAAAAGTGAGCATCAAGAATAATGGCAAGAGCAGATTTGTCAAGCTACTAGCAATGGTAGCATCTTTCCTAAATAGCCTTAAGTTAGAAGATCCTGAGGCCATCTTCTTTTCAGACGCCTAAGAGGATTATCAGGAATCGAGGAGGAAGCAAGGCTGTAAAAAACTTGGTTTGGATGGGTTTGCAGTTTTTCATGAAAGGATAGATACCTAGATTGGGCCAGATCAGTGACATAAAGATTGAGGTTATAAAGTAATAAAAAAATATAAGTTAAGTAGTTAATAAAAAAAAGAAAGATAATAGAATGTCGTATAAAAAATTTACTAATTTCGAATTATATTATTTTTACAGTTAGTACCGATATTGGGCTATAAATCCCATTTTACTTACTTTGATTTAATTAGAAATGAATAAACTAAACATTAAACATATTTATCTCCAGATAACCACAAAACCTAATAGGTGTGACTCGACCAAGTCCGATTTGCCTGAAGTCATAGGAAATGAAATAGTAAATCGTAAGGTAGTTCTTCTGAATATGAGTATTATGGTTATCTCTCAAGAATCTTGCACACTATAAAGAAATTGGTAACTTTCAGCTCTCCTCTATCTCGAAGTTATAACCATGTGAGTTGCCAATTTTTTCACATTGTACACAAGGTTAGGGTGATGATCATCTTACCAGTAGAGAATCCAAGGAAAGAGACATTTTTCCCCTAAAATGGCTATCTAATAAATATATATATATATATATTAATACTTATATATATTATTTGTTCCAGAATAAAGTTTATTTTCCATTTATGTTTGTATTTCTATATTCTACGTATGTTTATATTTTATTTCTTTTATTAAGTAAATAGCGTTTATCATAATTGGTAATTGGTTGACTGTCGTGGATAATGAAGAGAAGAATAGTTGGGGTAGTCAGTCAAAAAGGAAGGCAAAAATAAATGGTAATATTTATTTTTACATATGCCGACTTTTCGACATTTATAGCGTTTATCATAATTGAAATCAGATTAATTGCAACTTAATTCTACTATAATTAACTTAATTGCAACTTAATTACTAATTGTAATTAAATAACCAATGCTCATTAATTTACTCACTAAGCAAATGAGACAATTAATACAAACAATACAATGAGAGTGAGAGGGGACAAGGGGTCAAAGCGTGACGTAGTACTGACCATGCAGTACCGTGGTTCAGTTTGCTCAACTTCCGCTGCCTTTCTAATCTAGACCGAAAGTGCAACTCCCGATTACCTGGCGTCCTTTCATATTGGTCACTTTTCGTCACGGAGTCATTTCGGAATGTCCAGCATGCCACGAAGTTAAGACATAAACCTGCCTCAGGCTTTTCTTGATCCTTGTGGAAAACGGATCTGAACTCGACCCTTACATTAAGACAAAATTGAGTAAAAAAAAAAAAATATTTCTTGGTTTAGATTATGAAAACATACATTTAAACCTCTTTTTCATATCGAATAGTAAATTAACTGTTTCACGGATTATCTACTATCGATTTTATTTTTATTTCAACTAAAACAGCCGTTGACCTGATTTCATAGTCATTTATGAAAGGCAGTAACCAACCTCTACCCCTAAAAATGCAGAGATGTTCACGCGGATTTCAAACTCATTCAACCAGCCCAAGAGTAAAACGATCGAAAACAATGGGAAAGGACCATTAGCTATCGATTGGCACGTTCGGTCCAGACAGCTTCCGGAAGATATATCCGTTCGTAACAGCTGACTCATACCGGAACCGGAGGCTGCTAACACGCCTCAATCTTTGAGAGCAAGGTAAAATAAAAACTTCGCTAAGCAGCTGAAGAGAATAGATCGGTTAACATTATAGCGTTTAAAATGACACCAAGCAACAGGCTACATTACTTCAATGGTGCAGGGCGCAGTCTTTTCCAAGGATACGTGTATTATTTTAGTAGTCTTGTCACGAAAAGGGAGGTTAAGCTGCATCAAGTGGTGGTAGAAGGTTTCGTTTTTTGTCTTTTATGGGATGTGACTGAAATACAAAATGCAAGATTTCAACCTCGTCGCTCTTTTATCAGATTTTGACCATGAAGGGGTTAGTTATAGACAAAACAAACTCAATAAATTTTTTAATTAGATTAAATTAACTACAATTTAAGACTAAAATATGCTCCATAAACCTAATAGGTTTCGAACTACAGCTTTTCAAATAATTTTCATGTTTCATCTTACGCAATTATTTTCATATATATATATATATATATATATATATATATATATATATATATATATATATATATATATATATATATATATATATATATATTCAATAACCTGTCTGATATGAGTCGGGAAATAAACATTTATTCAATAAAACATTTAGAAAGGAGGTGTTTCGAAGTGTGAATATAAGTGTTTGCTCCGATTCAAAGACCCATGGGTCCCATCCATCTTGAGGTTTTACGTTTCACACTTAGCATTCAAAAAACGAATAAAAATGTTTTGTTCGTCCACCGTTTGCGCATTTTCTCCGAAACTACTGGAGTGATTTTTTTCAAATTTGGATATAAAATCAGAGGTCACCCGAGGATGACCCTCCTTTATCGACATTACTATCTGCCTATTTCTTTCAAAATGGTGGCCAAAAAACCTGCGTTGCTTATTTTCTCGACGCCTTTTAAATTTATCTATATGACATACTTCAACGAAAAGAAGCTGGAAAAAAAGTTACGAGGGATGGTGAAATTAAATTCCGAATAACTCAAAAAGTATACACAAAAAAATCGGTATAATCGAACAATTAGAAACAAAGATATGGTCTCTACTTTTATTATATGTTCTACTGCAAAGATTATATCGTTTATATTACTTTTCGAATTTGAATGTGTTACTGAAGTAATGCTGATTTTTGTAGCATATTACTAATTATTAAAAAAAAAAGTTTAGTCCAATAATTGGAATCACCTAAATTTATTTTTCTTTGTAACTAGGAAGGTAGTATTACTTTAGATGTATAATTGTTTGGAAATAATAAACCATTGTAAAATAATTTGCAGCGTTTTTTTTTTTTTTTTTTCAAACCTAGTAAATTGAACACAGTGACGATTCACGAATTCCTATTTTAATATTAAAATATGTAGTAGGGTAGGCAGGAAAGATCTTTCGGAAAAAAACAATGTATCAAGAATAATTTAATTTTTTTTCTTAAGATTGGTATATTGTAAATTTAATTTAACAAACGTAAATTTAATAGCATAATTAAAAAGGAAATTAACTATTAAAAACTTAATGAATGATGGGTTATTGTTACTGATTTCGAACGTCATTGTATCGAAGGCCGACTTAATAATTAAAACGATTGTAATGGGAAGGATATTTATCCTTGCTTTAGAACGAAAGTTTCTTGGGGTCCCTTAAATTTTCCAAGGACATCGAGCTGCAACTAAGCTTCTGCCAACTCGCCTTACTGCAAAGCCGGATGTAATTCCCAAGGATGATTCAGTAGCTGCAATGATCACCCTGAGCAGCCGAAAGTGGTTCGGTAACCGAATGGATAACATGCCCTCACGATCTAGAGGGCTACTGTGATGTAAATGGGGTACTGCGGCGGCGAATCTGGGCCAATGCGAGAGTGCGTCTGAGTCAGCCTCTGACGTCACCGCGGTCACGGCCTTCTGTATTCTCTGGAGTGGGATAAAGTATAAATGGTACAATTATTAAACGGCAAAGGATGTTAATTAAGCAAAAATTGATTTGATTTTGTTAAATGGAAACATTTTTTCTTTTTCGAATGGAAGTGGAACGGTCCAGTTTATCCGAAATTGGAAGTGCTCAAGGATCAGTTACGTGCCTTGCGGCTAAATAATTCCTTGCTGCAATTGGTCTAAGCGCTGAGGGCATAATACTGACCACACCTTATTCGTGACTTGTTCGGGCCAGCCTTTTATCAAGATGCACACTCAATATCCATTAGTTTAGAGAAATGTATTTAGAACAGAAAGATTATTTATTAATATATTAAATGTAGTGATAAATTCAATTTTTTTTTATTAATAAAAGAATATTTATGTATACCTATTTAAAATTTAAATTTAATACTTTGAAATAAAAACATATTTAATTAATTTAACAATCTTTTTAATATAGAAAGATCTATTTTAATGAATAATTATATTAAAATATTAAATGTAATAATAATGAAAACTTATTAAATGACTATCAATCATAAATAAATAAATAAAATTATTATTTATTTGAATAAACAAATCTTTAAACATTCCAGAAAGTATAATATTTCTCTTGAAATATATATATTTAAACTATATACTTAAATGGCCACTTTAAATAATTAGAGTTAATAAGTTGAAAAGATAATTGAAAATTAAAATAATGTAATGGTAATTGAAAAGATGAAATAAAATAATAATCCCTCCGAGGCGTGTGAAAAGAAGATCTCTAATTTATATACTTTATTGTGGTGATACCAATGGATTCTCGACTAAAATTCTTTTCATGCTATTTTATTTCTCTGTACCATATTTACTAGATGAAAAAAATAATTATATTTAATAATAAGTGATATTTTACAGTATAATAGAAATGTAGAATTATCAATATGTTATCGAGAAAAAAATATCTTTAAATAGAAGAATAAATAATTCTCGAACGGTAGAAAAGTGGGAATAAGTAAGAGAAGATATATATATATTAAAATGAAATAAAAAAAATTACATAATTGTTTGAACGAAAAGAATGAGTTCACAAAAACCTAGGCAAGTAAAAATATATTTAAAATAATATATTCAAAATAAAATATATATAAATATGAAATATTTATTTATTAATATCCAGTTCTTTATTTATTTAATTATTTTTATATGCTTCCGATATTGTCATAAAATATTTGTTTAGACCTAGATTTGACATTCTTTATTAGTTTTTAACACTTCTAACAGTGGTCACATCACACTCCCTTGACTACTAACCTACAATACTATATCTTCTTCTGGGACATCCCTACCGTAGAACCAATACCCGGATGATATCCAAAAGAAGACAGTACTCCTTCCTACAATATACCAGATATAGAAAAGGTAGTGGGCGGAGGGAAATCTTCTACATCTGCCCACTACCGTCGGACCAGGATGTACCTTCGACTACATCAGGGCGGACATTATCCAAGTCTATTACACATCAAAACATGTACATGAATATACTCCTGAATTATATGGAATTTTATTTAAACACATTCCTAAAACTTAAGGACATCACAATTGAGCTAAGCTCTAAAAATGAAACCTCGATAATTAATATGTATCAGGGTGTTATCCTAAAAAAAACTTAAATAGGAAACACCGCAAGACCCAATGAACTTTCCAAATAACTTAACCACAATCACGCAGTAGTGCTATACTTTGGAATGTAGAACGACGTTGGAAAAGTGAAGCATTTTATTCAAACACGAACACAACATACTTGCAACGTTGTTTACCTTGATAGACAAACATTCCCGCATACAAATACAGTAAAAGAAGGTGAAATCTCATTAACCTTCTGTCGTTCCTTTAAAGGTAATTTTCCTTAGAATATATTAAAGGAATAATCAATGGGTGTGGTAAGGTATATCACTATATACTACTAGGTATATATATATATATATATATATACTGTTTTAGAATTTAAAATTCAATACTCCTAAGCGTCTGAAGAGAAGATGATCTCGTGATCTTATTACCTAAAATTATTTAGGCAGTGCTACCACTGGGTAGTATCTTGACAAGTCCGTTCATGTCATTTTTCTAAATTTGTATATATTTACTGGTTGTATTTATTTAATAACGTTGTAAATTTCAATAAATATAAAAAATTAAATATTATTCAGTTTACATTAAAATCAGTTAGGCTTCTCGTTTAATGGAAGCGACAACGCGAAAAAAATCCTAAAGCTACATCTTGAGAATTAGAACGCGTAGGTAAAACACACTAACTATATAAATAAAAATATAATATTAATTAAATTTATATTAATTAATTGAAAATTACCATTAATAAATGTTCCTAATATATTTTGCCTAATAATTAACAGATTTAAAATATAAAATGTCTTCCTGGAATAAATAATAATGAAAAGTTAAAATGAGTGGTATATTTGAACTTAACAAAATTTTGTGTCAAAATTCACAGGAAGAAATACGTATATCATTATCATTATCAATTAATAAAATAATTAATGTAAAGGGCTTTGGAAATATAAAAAAATAATTTGTCTTGGAGAAAATAAATTATTGCTACTGCATCTCAAAACTACATGACATTCCGCATGAAGTATTACGGCTTCTTATGATTCCATATAAACTTCATATCGTAAAATAAATTTAATAATTTCCCAAAATCCATTATTATGGCGTTACACTGTTGAATCTTATGACTTTAAGATTGAATCAACAGCTATAAAGCATTGTAACCAGATGTCGTTAAATGCCGATTGTTTGGGTTACAATAATAGATAATAGTATACGAATTATTTGTGTGAAAATATAATTTAATGGTAACTTTAATTTTGAGGTAATAAATTTCTCAGAGAAATAGTGAGGGACGAAATGGGTTACAGTGCCGTTAAAAGGAGTTTTTTAGTAGTATTTTTCTTCTTGTTTTGAGACTATTTTTACACAATAGGATGACTACGAATATGTTGGACATATTGAAAAAAATAGATCTGCTACTTAAAAAATAAAAAAAAATAAATCTTAGGTGTGCCCGTAATCGGGTCGACGAAAAAAAAATGTAAAAATAGATTTGAAAAAAATAGTAGAGCCTAGTAATTTAGATACTTGTACGCATATTAGTATAGAAGGAGAGAGTGAGTATTGGAGGCGATTCCTATAATATCCTGAGAAAAGGGAAACTGGCAATTTTCCTCAAGAAAAAGAAAATTTCGACCTTTAAGTACTCAATTTCGAAAATGTTATGATTGTGATTGCTTTATACGAAAAAAACTGTATGCATTTTGTTTTTCATAATTCACAACAGGAAGCGATTTCGGAGTTTTGAGTCACTTATACTTTCACTGAAATGATAGAGAAATGAGATTGTTTAACCAGAAAAAAAAAATTAAATGTAACTTGTTAAAACCAGACAACTTATTACGACTTTTTTTTAAATTCCATCATCACACTAACAAAAATTACTGCATATTCAAGTTTATTAGGAAGACATATCAATTATTTGTAAAGTGATTTGACATTTTAAATAGTATCCATTTTTTTCATCGTGTATCTAATTATTTCAGAACATTCTTTAATTGTCGTTATAAATTATCAAAGAAGAATCATATTAAAAGTCAATAACATTTACGCCACAATACCTTAAAAGGCCTAACTGACTATACTCTTCACACTTCGTCAGTTAAACCAACACTAGTCAATACTAGTCTGATTTATCTTACTACACCCAGTTATAATTGGACAAGTAAAAATTACTATGCTTTTTAAAGTACTTTGAAATAAAACTTATTAACTTCAAAGATAGTTCTTCTTCAGTAATTAATAATGACAAGTGGACATTGTTCTGAAGATGGAGACTGTTTCTCTGAAACTTCGACCAACAATTATGAATAATAAAATATATGATGAAACAAATGAATCTTATTTCAAATGACTTCAGAAAAAAAAAACTTTTTCCAAGATTTTATAAAGCTCTCTGGGTTCTAATTTAATCGAATTATGATTTCTAAAGATTAGCTCAATATAATGAGTATTTAAAATTCATCTGCTGTGATGAATTCTGCTATTGCATAAATAAAACGCTATCGATGAAGTAACCGATGATAGGAATCGGATTATTTTCGCAATGAACTTCAATCATCAGCAAGGTACAGAATGAATATTTTATAAAAAAAAAAAAAAAGTGCGCGCGTCACACTATATTACCTTTGAGTAGGAAATTTACTTGGAGTCAGGCAACTCTAAATCTCACAATTAGTTATTTTTCCAAATACTTTCTCCTTTAGCATACTCGAATTATTTCTCCGCTATTACCAAGGCGATATGTGATGGAAGCCAGTAGAAGATCGAGAATTTAATTTCGGGGCTTCAGTCCGAAAGCTTTGTATGTGTATATAAAAGCTATATATAAAATATAAAAAAATCTTTATATATGTACACAAAAATATAAAATATGCTTACTTTGGAAGAAAAAGAAAGCAGGTAACTTCGTATACGAAATAATGTTTAAGTGATTCTTGAAGACCTACAAAACTTTTTTTAAATTACACTAACAACTCTTAGAGATAATTTTTTTCAAAAAACATGATTATATTTTGTAGCTGTATACGCATTATAAGTTTAAAAATAGGACATATTATGATTGTTTAAGTATTTAGCTAAGATCACTCATAGCACCAAATATGGACCATTAAAAAAAAATTGTTTTTCTTTTTGGAGGGGCTACAGCCCGAATGCTTCCTTCTCCCCTCCCTAGATCCGCTAAGAGTAGAAGTAACTAACATATGAATACGACTTGTCGATCTTTCATGAGGAAGAAGTGTTCCGCCGAATCACCATCGATTTAGTATGACGGCTACGTGACTATTGTTACTATAGTTACCTCTATTTCCGTCACGCGGATATAATGTATTCGAAAACCTCTAATTTCCTACTTTATTTCCGATGTCTGAATGTCGAATAAAGAGCATGTAGCTATATGAGGTTTAGAAACAACTCAAAAAGGCTAACCGTTAAACAGAGCCAGAACTAGGAGCGACAAATTTCAAATTGTCTTTTACCTTCAGTTAAGAAATTGAGCTAATTTTATGAGATGATAATATGTATTTTGAAATACATGAACTGAAGAATTTATTTATTTGATGGTCTTCTCTATCCTAAATAACCTGAAATATTGTT